ACCGAAACTTATTGTCTTTTTATTGTAGGCAGGAAATTTTTTTATTTAACACAAAAAATATCAAAAATATCAAATATATCGATATTTTTCGGTGATATTTAGAAATATTATTATCATATTATTTGATAAAAAAAATATCATCGATACGATATTTTTTAAAATTTCGACAACCCTAGAATTAATGAAAAGTTCGGCATAGTAAGAGAAGTATAATATAGTAAAGATTATTGTCGAAGTTCTAAGGATCAGGCTAACAATAAGATACAATTTTTTGTCGTTTTATAGACTTTTATAAGTTCTGACTGCAAGGGTATGCAACGGATATTTCTATTACTCAATATTTATATTTATTATTTTATATTATTTATATTGTTAAAAACGGTGAAATGTTTTTCGCTGTTTATGCCTAAATAAGATGCATAAGTGGCGGACATTTAGCAAAACGCAAATCACTTTTAGTTTATGGTAAAATGTAGCTAAGATTATTGGGTTTGTATTTAACTTTGACAGCTAATATATGTAACAGTTAGAGTAGCTGCTTTATTGACCATCGCTCAAAGTTTTTACTTTATTTTGGACAAAACAAATAGTTAAACAAGAAAGCAAGCTAGCTTCGGCAAGCTGAAGCTGATATACCCTTGCAGTCATCAAATCAAAAACAACGACGTTATAATTTTTTTTTCCATTATTTATATATATATTTTTCGATCTTTTGTATGGCAGCTATATGATAGACTCTATCAGATAGAGTTATCTGATATAAAATTTTATCCGAAATTAAATAGTCAATAGAAAACGCCATCTAGAAGCAATCAAGTCGATCTGATCAAAAACAACGGCGTTAGAATTTTTTATTTCAATCTCTTGTATGGGAGCTATCCTATATAGTCGCCCGATCCGGCCCGTTCCGACTTATATACTGCGTGCAATAACTACACACCTTTTGGGAAAGTTTCAGCAAGATAGCTTGAAAACTGAGAGACTAGTTTGGGCAGAAACGGACAGGAGGGCAGACGTTCAGACGTACAGACGTATTTCGATTCTGATCGTGATCCTGATCAAGAAAATATATATACTTTATGGGGTCTGAGGTGTATCCTTCACTGCGTTGCAAACTTCTGGCCAAAATTATAATACCCTTTGCTCTGCAAGGGAATAATAAAGAAACTGCAGTCGACCTTTCGCGTGAGCCCTTGCCAGAAACAATGAACATTATAATGATCTACTTTATAAATGTTTACGTATGTGTTCGTTCACTTATTAGGTTTGTTTTCATTGAGTTCTATTACAATAGCAGGGGAATATGTTGCTATTTGTTGTTGCAGAATATGCCTGCTCATTTATATTTGTTGCTTGGACAAACGTTCTGTTTCATTTGTTGTGTTTAATTGACAATTAAACTGTGCGTTTGAGGCTCATAAGTGGCTAAGCTTTGCTTTGGCCTGGCTCACTATCAGTGTCAAGTGAATTAAACTTGACCCCATTTCGAGACAAGACTCTTAATTGTCTAGGAAGCTTTTTGGGCCTCGATTTCATTGGCACACATTCCAATCAGCATATCACCGAAAAGCCAATATGGCGGAGAAATGCATTTCACATATTCCGAATGAAACTCGATGGAAAAATTTGAAAGAAAAAAGAACCAGCTGCATAAATTAAGAGACTCGTTCGAAGCTGGTTGGTCTGGGCGTAGGGAAAAGTTCAAAAACCGGTAAATCGGACGAAAACAAAAATAAATATCATCGAAGCCATTAATTACATTTATCTTGCAGTGGTCGCGTGTAACTGTAAACGTGTAGCCCCCGAGACCTGGAGATAGCTTTCAGCATCCAGCGACCAGGAGCTGATCGGACAGCTTGTTTTGTGGGCAAGCCGAAGATTGTTTTGTCTGTCCAAACCTCGAGTGCATAAAAATGCATTTCATGTACAGTTTCCTAATACCCGAGCTCTCGCCCTCCGCCTGTTTCAAGGCCACTCCATTTGGAGCAGACCAGGTTGGAGCTTTAGGCGAAAGCCCTCCCACAAACGCTAATATTATTTAAACCTAATTGAGGCCAGGTCTTACCCGCTGCCTTGGACTCTTAACCACATTCATAAATCAGCATTTACCGGTAAGCACATTGAGCACAAGCGGCGAGCAATAATCATCTCTTGTTCAATTTCTTTTATTTATTTGCAATGCAATAAATACTGAGGCTCATTTAACTGTGCTTTCTTCTGTCTTGGCTTTAAGGATCCCCTCTTAAACAATTTTAATTTTCTGAGAAGCCTTTTTGTCGTATGTTGATTTGGTTTTCAATTTTTGTTGGTCATTTCACGGTTTAAGCTGCTTTCCCCCTTCTTCCGTATGAAAGTATATTTTATATATTTTTAATCGTTCTTTGTAGGGAAAAAGGGTATTTGCCTTAGTAACATGCATGGGTGACCCGAATACATAGACTATTAAAACATGTAACTAAAGTGTTCGTTTTTTTTTTTAGAGTCCCTGTTAGTTTGTCTATCTACTTAGCATTCATTTTTAGACATTATAGCATGAATCGCTTTATCGACTCGGTTAGTGATCCCGATCAAGGAGCCTATGTTTTTATTTCTGAAGTAATATTTAAAACCAACTCATTTTGAGTTTTGTAAACATATCAATTTACAATCCGTGTATAAATCTCATAGCTTCCGAGTTAACACGCGACCGAAGAAAACTTTCCCATGCATATATGCATATTTATGGATTTTTGTTTTGACGAAATCTCCCCGGTTACCAAACGATTGTTAGAGCTGCGCGGCTTTTCCATTAAAGGGAGCTGACCAATCTGCACCAGAGTATTTCTCTGCAGCACGGAATGTAGGTCAAAGAGAGATTCAATGTTCGTCGGGTGGTGCAGTTTATTGTTAATTTTATGATGGCCAGATGCAGTGACGTCAACGAGCAGCGATGATTGCTAAGCGTTTACGCAGAATTCGTCCGGGACGAGGCTGAATCTTGACTTAATTCAAGTGAATTTTTTGGGGGAAATACCTGGGCTTGGACAAATGTTTTGGTTTTTTCTTTTGGCTTTTTTGCTCGTCTTTTTTGACTTGCTTTACTTCCGTTGATGGGAAAAAGGCGAATGAGTCGAACTATTTGCTAAAGTGCTAAACGTTTTAGCCGTAAATTCACAATTGGCCATTACGCTGCTATATAAATCGCTAATAATATGCTTTGATGTCACACTGACCCGTCGGACTACCAATGAGCCGACGGACTCAAAACATCCCATTGAGATTATGCGAGGAGCATTCGGAGCTTCCACTCGGAAGCTCTCCTCGCTCATTGACCCGAAACGTGGAATTTTACAGTGTGCGCATCGTGCACATTTCATAATTCTCAGCGCAACACATTATAAATAAGAACGTCTAGACCAGAGCCACCCACAAACACCGAAATCTAAAAAACCGATTTTTATTCGTTTTCAGTTCCGATCGTAAATCACTCGCAAAAAGAAACACGTCGAAATCAGCAAACTCGCGAAAATATCTTAATTGTTTGTTATACTTTAAGCATTGAGCAATCAACCAGCGTAGCGATTGAAATGCAAAACCTATGTGCTTGCAGGCTTAAACCGAAATTAAAATATACATATAGTGAAACAATTGTGATTTTTTCGATAGTCACTTGTTGATTTGAAACTGCCTGCCTATACTATAAGTCGACTGTTTGCTTTCATACCGCTTTTGTTACCGTGTGGCTGTTTGTTTTTATTTGATTTGCTTCATCTTCCGATACGGAAGACGACACCTGACGCAACGAGGCTCAGTTCAGATCGCTCTGCTCCTCTCCTGTTTGTTGTTGTTGTTGGCTTTAAATTGTCGCAGCGAAATTGATCGGTTTATGAGGTTTTCGTTTTTGGCAAATTTCAATGTCAGTGGCACTAATTCGCAGTATGCATATTGATTTGCCGTTTTCGCTGAATTAAAATGTATCAAAAGATGATCAGTAAATGCGGCTTAGGCGACAAAGCACTCTTGTTCAAATCGGCTAACGAGGTAAATGATAACAACGGTTTTGGGGCTGTTGAATTTCAAAAATTATTTATTTTTTTTACAAAATATTTAAAAACATTTTTTAGTTTTCACTGTATATTTATAAAATGTAGATCTCTTAAATGTTTTGATCTTCTTAACCATTTCTTAAGTAAACGTTGTCCGGATTATGTACCACAAATTAGTTTCTTATTACATTTTGTAAACTTGTATTCATATCCATCCATTATTTCACATTGTTTTTGTTGTGACCGGCTATTGTTATCGAACATATCACCGGAAAATGTCAGTGAACCCGCTAAGAAGAAGACGATTGTTAAATCGGGCCACATGCAAGTGCTGTGTCGGCCATATTCATATTCCTCTATATGCATGAAATACCGATTTAATTCAGCGTTCTTCTTTCAATTCATGTGACGTGTATGAGTAGGCGAAGTACTCGATTATGTGGCATGTTAAACAATGCTCAATAGATGGCAATTGTTTAAATACTTTGTCAGTAGCGGCAACAAACAAGGCGCTAAAGATTCGGGCAATGCTCTTCGGGAAGGTCGAGCGGCAATATTTACTTGTTTCGGTCAAATAAATTCCGATTAAAACTACAGCAATTAACGGTGAATGTGTTTTTTAAAGTGAGTTTGAATATACCCAAAATCGCACAGGAAGCAAAAAAAAATACTCGGTTAGATGGCGATTAATTGACACCTAATTTATTCACTTGTTATGCACAAATTGTAATAAGTTTAGGCAGGTACAAGGAGACATAAAATGTACGATTTTGTCGTTACGGCTATTTTCTTACCATTTCGATTTCAGTAGCTGTTTTGTCGTTAAACTTTACTATGAAAATATTATTTTATTATTATTTGATTTATTTATATTATCTTGAGGATATTTCTTTCTTACCTTTTGATAACTGTTTTGTTTTATTTATTTTCTATTTCTAGGTAAGTCCCGATATGTTAGTATTAATCAAGTTTTGGAACGGGTAATCTGATCTATCAAGGCGAACACCTGTGTTTATAAGTGCATGTGGATTTCAATTTACCGAAGACGCCGGGGAAAGTATGTTTGGTCAAGTGCTGAAGCCAAATGATACAATGAATGCTGGCCGACTGTGGTTGCACAGGACTTTTGGAGAATATTCATTAGCTTATTAGTTGGTACATGTCTCGGTCACTATCTTTTAATTGGCAGCGACTATGCATGCCTTTTCCATGACGGGTTCAATGGCGTTCATAAGAACTCAAGCGGAGACATTTAGAAACGCATAATTTGATTTCCACTGACGCGACAACGCCAAGTTATTTTGGTTACGTGAACAAATTAATACAACCTGACATTTTGTCAGTAACAGCGCCGAGGTAATTGTTTTTAACTCGGTTTGATCTTTGCAATCAACGCACTTTGTGACTAATTGCTGTCGTAATTGCTAAACTGTTCAGTTCATCTCGGAGCGATCTAAGAGCGAGGCACTTGAGGGTGAAGAGCGAGCCTGCTCTTCGATCAGCTGTTGGACTGCTTGGCCAAGCTATAAGAGACTAAACGCACGACGGCGGCTAAGAGAGCCGGAGAGCGGGAGCGGTTCACCTACACCTGAGCAGCGAGCTTGGCTCAAATGGCACACACATAGACGCCAAGACGGCGACTGCGAGTGTGTCGGTGCGGTGGCAAGCGGTTAAAACCTTTCTATAAAAATTTTATAAACGTATCAGTTGTCTGCGAAGCGGTGCACAAAACGGACGTGTAATCGGAAGACGCGCGAAAACGGTTCGAAAATCGGAATACCGCCTGTACACGCAACACATAGGAAATCGAAATCCAATCAAATGCCTTAATCGCATTCAGCCAAAGCTCGCGGACTTCGCTTACAAGTTGTTTCGTTCACGGGCCGACGGAACAATCAACAATCCACCATCCACAATCCACTATCTACCTAGTCGCTCGCGGCACGAGTGGCGCATGCGCGACCTGTCTGTGTTGGTGTCTTACTTCTAACGACCAGTGTTTCCTTTGTTTAAAAGTGCATCCAGAAAAGCCCCAGTTTGATATGGAAAAGTGGCGACGAGAGCAGCAGTAGCAGCAAAAGTGGAAAAGGTACAACACCTGGCTACAGTATGCGGAACCATTCCCAACTCGGATCTCAGATCCGATAGAGATGGGGCAGAACTTTCTATTTTCTTTACTGTTTCGCGTGTGCTTTGCTGGTCATGCGAACATATTTGCTTTGCCTCGGCGCAACGCCCCTGGAATTATAATTGCGTTTTTCGTGCGGAATTCAAAGTCGAACATATTAAATAAGAAAATTCCTGGGAGTCGCGACACGTTGTTGCTGGTTCGGTGGAGTTATGCAATGGCTGCCTGCCACAAAGTCGTCCTCCTCCTCTAGTTTTCGCGAACTTTATCGTTCACTATGTGCTAAAATGCACTACTGGCTCACCAAACGAGTGATACATTTGTGTGAATACGGGTGCGCAGAGTTCCGTGCACATGATCGTTTTTATTCACCGACTGGGGTTCACTTCGTCGGCGATTTTGTGTTTCGAGCCACCATCCCAGGCCGCAGAAACCATATCAATTTTGACTTACGTGACTTAGCCAAGCTGCAGCACTTCGCACATATTCTCTGCGTTCAAGCTGTGGCTTAAGTTGAGGCTTAAGCTCGGAATTAGCGGGCTCTAGGGCCCTTCTTTCACATCGCTTCTCTGTCTTTTCTCGGCAGAGCGCGGAGTACCATGGCCATAAATTTCCTGTGCTATGAGTCATTCCCGTCAGTCCGAGTCGGTTAACAACAGCAGTGGCAGCAGAAAAAACGATAAAGATACAGATACAAAATATTCAGTTGAAAACACATGAAAATTGCTTTCAAAGGTATTGAGTGTGGAGCGCCAGAAGAGCAAAAGAGAGGCGAAAAAGCTCATTGTTTATGGTGGCTGGCTTTGTGGTCCGCTCATTGTTGTTGGAAGTGCGAGCGGTAACCTCTGCTACCGTTTCCCGACTGAACTCACAGACATTTTGCCATAAGTGCTGAAGCAATTTATAGCCAAACTGTTCCTCACTGTTCCACCTCATGAAATTGCTCTCCAGGTCCCACCATTTCAGGCACACTTCGATTTTCATGAATTTGATGCAAAGTTTGAAGCAGAGATTGCAGTTCTGCTCGGACACATTTCATGGCCAACGTAGTTACTGTTAAATTGTTGTTATTAATTTTGGCTTGTGTTAATTCAGTGGTCTTTGCCAGACCAGAGATCTGTTCTCGGGTTAACTTGAAAACGGTTTTTTTTTTATTTTTCAGAGGAATCGCTAAAGCTATTACAGATACTACGCATATTCAAATATTTCACATACGTTGGTATTATCTTGCAGCCAAATTATTAAAAAAAAAGGAAATAATCAAAAAAAATATTTGGTGCCGCCATACACACAAAATAATGTGGGTAAAGGAAGAGAATTGGTTTCAGATAAAATGCTTTGAGTGGAATAAAATGGCTGCTACTAAATTTAGTCAGTGGTCTCGTTACCATTGTGCAATGACCTAAATCATGGGCACAAAATCAAAGCCAAACTCATTTTTGGCCATCAGTTTTTTTTTTTTTTTTTTTTTTGCTGGCTGGCTGGTGGCTGTCGGTCGTTGCCTATGTTTTTGGTGGCCAAAAAGCTTACTATTCATTTGCACATAAATGGGTAGCAGCACGCGGACAACCAACTGATTTGCTGGCTGACCGCGGGCTATGTTGTTTTCTTTAACTTGATTTAATTTTTGGATTCGTGGAGAAAGTACGGGCTAGAGTTTAAACTTAGTCTGGAAAGACTTTTTCCTGCCCACTTGTACTAATTAACGACGCATTGGCCACCGAATGATGGCCTGAGTTTATATTTCTCATCAGTGTAGGTTTCATAATTCTTGGAGATAAATATACCGCCTTAGCAACATATGCTCGACCGCAAATGTTGCAGCAAACCATCAAACAATCCGTTGGCAACAACCGAAAGAGTTTCTGTTTGATTTTCGAGGTTTGCTGTTTGTGTTTGTGGATTGGCGCACTAGAAGGAAACAACAAAGAAGCAGGCAACAGCAACAGCAACAAAGCACCACTAAACCGGTTCAATTTGGGTCGTAGTACTTTTGAGTGCAATTGTTACCTTTCCAGTAACCACAACAACGGCAACGGCAACAGCTCCAATCGCACTCGATGCCACTCGCTCTGCAGCTCATTATGCCCGTTATTATGTTGGTCTTGTTCAGTTTTCTTGGCACGCGCTGCCAGCGAAAAAACCAACTCCCACACGAAATACAAACGAAAACAAACCGAGCGATATTTTGTAATGACCATGTTTCGATTTGGTTAGCATAGGTCAGTCAGACAGCTCGTGTTTGAGTTGAGCTTCTGATTTTCGCTGAGCCTTAGATTGTCCTTTTCTTAATGAAAGGGTGTGCAGGAACCCATAAGGTGGTATTCTGATAACTAGTTTTGTGTGTTTACATTGGGCAGCGGGTTAAAAAAAAGCATGTATACGATCCCATTGGTCTAAAAGCTTTTGATACCGATTCCGATACTGGTCAATAGTGTTTGTTCTACATTGCTTTGTATACTTTCTTTAATATCCCATTAACGATCGCATTTCACAACTCAAAGCAATGAGGTAGCGTTAAAAAGGTTTGTAAAACTCGACGAGACTAGATCTTGTAGCTGAAAGGAACACACAAACATTTTCAGAGGAGCTTTCAATCTCCTTTTGAGAATCTGAGCGATGCCAATACGGGTTCAACAGGTTTTGTCCGCCGTTGTTATTATGGTTATTGTTGGTGCTAATCAACAAAGCAGCTGTTTTGTTTTAAAATTATTTAACTCTTGTTGATATTAAATATACACCGCACTTGAAAGTGAAGTTTATTGGGACTAATTATCGATAATACACAACATTTCTGTCTTTTCTTTAGTAGTTAGGGATTCCTATTCGAATGGTTACAAAAACAATATTAAGTGGAGCGGGTTAACAACTGACAAAATTAACAAACAAATTGCGAGGACTGAAAACTTTAGTTTCTGACTCATTTAATATTCGGGAATGAGTCAGACTTTTAATTTCAGCACTTAAATTAATGACGAATGTATTAAGGTGAAACTAGTCTTTTAATGATTTTACTTGCCTGGCAAGGCAGATTATTATATTAAACCTAAAGAGTTTATGCTGCCTATAATTTTTTGAGGAGTCCTACATTTAAGAGTATCCTGAATTTGTTATTTTCAAATGGGTAATTAATGGGTATCTTTTAGTCGTTTCACTTGGGAATGCTCTTCCGATTTGGTTTGTTTTGCGGTTTTTGTTGACATTGACATTTGCTGATGCTGACAGTATAGCGACGGTCTTTAATTCAGTGCAAGTCCACTGCATTGTTTCAGATGGCGATGCCAAGAGGGGATTAGGCCACAGGATGTCCAGCTGAACGCTTCCTGTGGGTTCTTATCGCCTTGTTGGCCACTCCGTCTCAAGAGCTCCTTTGCCGGCTCTCGTCAGTCGTTCACCTTGCCACCGTGCGGAACTCTTCAGTCGGAGCCGCTGCCTTGGAATCAGATTCCATCTCGATTCGAGGTAAACGATCTTGATTACGTGGTGCATATAAAAAAGAAGTTCAATGGTCAGCTGAAAGACACCTTCAACTTCTGCGTTCGGAGAGCTACTTTTCAAGATTTTGCTGCTGATCTGGTTGGGGTCGATGAATAAGTTACCGCGTGACAAGATTGCTGGCAATCAATTTAAAGTCGCACTGCCCACAACAAATAAGCAGCCAAATCTTCCATCCCCCTATATTCTGTGTGAATCATGCGGGCCAACTTACCTCCACAACAAACTAAATATGCGTTCGGCAATCTGTCGTTAGTTTATCTTTCAATTGGTAACCAATAGTATGCCGAAATCCCAAGGACTGCAACAGTGGAGCCTTAAAGAAGACCACATTGTCGTTCCGTTCAGTAGATTCCGCCGATATGTTCATCACGTCTGGTTCTTGTATGTTCCTCACGACCGACCCACGCATTCCGAGTGATTTGCTACCCGCTCCAATTCATTCCATCACATTCGAATCGTATAAAACATTTCTAACGGCCTAAATGTTTTTCATGCACACGCCGCCAATTGCTTGAATATCTTATACGTTTTGCATGTTATGTGGTGAACCTCTCAAGCCAAAATTCAAGGCTAAATGAAGCAGATTAGGAAAAATTCTAGGCAGATAAAAGAATTTCGATTGCGTAAACCCCCCGGCGTAATTAACATAAATATTTTAAAGCACGAACTCTTTTTCGCTGCGGATCAGAGGTAAACAAGAGCCGGAATCGAATTCCTCGCCAATGATCTCTCAAATGTAGCAACCAGCGGAGCACAGAAACAGTAAAGAAATCAACCAGCGGCCACCCGAATATTTTCGTGTAACTCCAATCTTCTTCTCCCTCACAGTCGCTAAATCCAGTATCCAATCCTGTACGGGAAGGCAATAATGACGGCCATGCCCGTGGTGTGGTGCACCGATCCGAACTCGGTGAACAACAAGCCCACGGCGTTCGCCCTGCACGGAATCCAACTGCAAGGGAATGTAACAGAGAAGCAAGTCCACGCCCTCCGGGAGCTGGTGAACGCCGCCGCCGAGGGCCGGCTCATCCTGCCCTCAGATGGCACCTTCACGCTGCTGGACAGCGGGCTCAGCATCGAGAGCTCCATCGTTGAGCAGCAGGCAAGCAACCCGGCCAGCCCCGGCGAGCCACCGGCAGGTGGCCAGTTGACCCAGGCGAAGAGCCCCAAGAACACCTACATCCTGATGCCCGTGAACAAGGCGGAGGGTTCCAAGCAAGGGGGAGGAGCGTTGGCGGGAGCCGGAGCTCCGACGGGGCAGGCGATTGCAGCCGCTGCCGCCCAACTTGAGTTCCTGCTGGAGCCCAAGTACTCGCCCACGCCGGACAGCAACCCTGGGACGGACGCCAATGCTGCGGCGGCAGAAGGCGGGGCGACCGAGGAGGTTCTGTACGAGTTCCTGTGCTGCGCCAAGTGCATGAACGAGCAGCGGACCGGACCCACTTGCGCCGGGCGGCGGCTGCAGCGCTACTTGAGGACCTGCAGCAGTGGCAGTGGCAGGAGCGACTACGAGCCGGTCAACGACCCAGCTCCGTGGCAGCTGCAACTGGATCCTGTCAGCAGCATCGCCAGCAAGTACGCGCGCAGACAGCAGCGACACCGGCAGCACGGCACGGTCTCCATGGGCATCGCACGTAACCGCACCCATCGCCATCACAAATTACCCATGCACAGTGTTAAAATCTTTCATAATCGCAGCACTTACACGCCAGCGACCACGGCGACAGGAGCGGTGGCAATAGCTGCGCCAAACGCTTGCCTTGTGGGCGGAGGCCGAGAAGCGTCGGCCGTTGCGGTGCCGATTCCCGGTCCGATTCCGAGCTCGGTTCCGAATCGGAATCGCAATCCGAATTCCAAGCCCAGCCCACCGACTAGAGCGAGTGTCGTCAGTGAAGCGTTTAGTTTGCTACCGACTGCGGCGCGATCTACATCTACATCGCAGGCAGAAACAACACCGACAGCAGAGGCGAGTCTGCCCGTTTACGCTCTTGTGAATAAAAACCGCCAGTTGGCCGGCGGTGACAAGACTGAGGAGGTGACCACCACCGCCGCAAGCATGCTGGCCGTGGTGCCCGAGGAGCCGTCGCCGCAGCCCGCCGCCGACGGGCGCGACCTGATCAGCTTCGACGACGACCAGGCACAAGTGGCCACTGGGGTGGGGGATGTGGGCCAGCAGGCGGGACCTGCTGTGGACCTGCTGTGCGCGCCCAACGAGGAGGACACCCTGTTGGCCCTGCTGGAGACGCCGCCGGCCACACCGCCCAAGCCCTGCTCCCCGGGCAGCAATAACTCGAGCCGCAAGACCAGCTTTGACTCCACCAGCACGCTCAGCTCCATGGACTCTGGTTTCATGGAGATGCAGAACAAACTGGATGCCCTGGCGGCAGCCGCAGCGGCAGCGGCAGCAAGTTCTTCAGGCGAAGCAGCAGCAGCAACGACGTCGTCGAACGGCGAGAAAACGGAGCGGTGCATCTACAAGGAGTGTCTAACGCAGTCGCGGAACCGCCGAAAATCCTACGAGGAGTTCAAAGCTATGTTTGTTGAACCCGCCGCGGACGCAGCCACGACTGCGACCATGCCACCGCCGGTTGCAACGACGACGGATGACGCAACAGCAGCCAGCAACACTGTGATCCCACTTTCCTCGATTTCAGAACAAGAAACCACAGGCAGCCGCGGTGCGAGAGGCAAACCGGATTGCGCAAACGAGTTTGCCGCCAGCGCCGATGAAATGGATACCGGCGACGGTGACAGTGATGGTGAAAAAGGCGCTGCTGCCGAAGGCGTTCTAGCAGCAGCATCAGCAGCGGCAGCAACAACAACCGCAGCAGCAATACCTTCAGTCAGCAGCACCACCACAGAGGCGATGCGAAAGAACTCGGATTTTCTATCGCAGATTCTCGATCACCAATTTGCGGCCAAGGAGCGCGCCAAGGCGCACAAGCGTCGCACTTCGTACGAGGAATTCAAGCGTCTGGTTAACGAAATCGAGCCACTGGAATGCCCCGATTCCGATTCCCCGCCCCTCGGCTCGGCTGTGGTCGCACCCACGACCGCAGCAGCAGCAACAGCAGCCACATCGCCGCTGAAGCGCCAGAACTCGCGGCAGCGCAAGAGCTTCGCCAGCTACTTTCTGCCGCGCCGACACTCGACCAAAGAACAAAAGACTGACAAGGAGAACTGCGCCCGGGATCTGAACGTGGCGCCGCAGGAGCAGCAGGAGCAGCAGCTGGTGGCTTACAGCAAGGCGCCGGCAGCCAAGGGGAACGGCAGCGAGAGCGCCGGCTCCCACTACAGGCGCAACTTTAAGATCTACGACAAGCTGGTCTACGGCACCATCTACGACATCATCCAGCGCAAGAACGACATCTACCAGAAGTACGACAAGTACATGACCTACGGCACCATCTACGAGATCCTGCACCGCAAGTCCTCGCAGGGCGGCGACAGATGGCAGCGCAAGAGCCTCAGCTCGATCCTGGAGGGCGGTCGCTCCTCGGGCGACGTCATCTACGACATCGTCCAGAGGCGGGAGCGCGAGAAGCAGCGTCAGCAGCGCACTCTGGAGTCCCTGGCTCCGGAGCCTGTGTCCGCGCCGAGTGGCCACAAGTACGGAACGATCTACGACATCCTGCAGAGCGAGAGACCGAATGCCGGCCGTGCTGCCGTTAAGCCGAACCCCAAGCCAACGCGCTTCGTGGTCAGCCAGGTGGAGGAGCCCGTCCAGACGCCGCCGGCTGAGCAGTCCGAGCCGGGTGCTGCGGACTCTGGCGCTGCAAAGTCCAGCAAGCCGCACAAGATGCGTCGCCTGTCGCACATCCTAAGCTACAATCGAAATGCTGCCGAGGATCAGCCGGATGCTGCTGCCAAGGAGGAGGCCAAAAGCCAAAAGAAGCGCACCCAGGCCAAGCGGCGCGTTGGGGTCACCAACCTCCTGCTGCCACTGGACTCGGAAGAGGTCTATACGCGCATCATCGCCCAGCAGCGAAGGCTCGAAAAGGAGCGCGATCAGGAGGCAGAGAGCAGCAGCGAGCCGGAGCCGTGCCCCCGCAATGCACTGACAAAGTCCAGCTCGCTGGACGCCATCTCCCTCTCCGTGGCTGTCTCGCCAGCGTCGTCGCCCTCCCCACCGCGTCCCCGCCGCAGCCTCAAGCAGCACCGCTGTCTCCAGCAGCGGCATCAGATGCCTCTGGTCAAGAAGCACTCGCTGGACAACTGCCTCCAGATGTCGGCGGCCATTCCCAGCCGACAGCCGCTCCGCCGCTGGTCCAACCAGACGCCCCTCAAGTGCACCTGCCCGCACGCTTCCGAGGAGCTGACCGCCAACGAGAAGTCCCGCTCGCTCCCCACCGCCTGCTCCGCCCCCTGCTCCCAAACGTGTGCGAACCCAAGCTCAGTCGATCAGAGCCCGGCCACAGCAAAGTCCTTCGGAAAAACGCCAACGAAAACGGCCAAGAAAGGCAAATCGCGTCGGCTCTCAGAATTTACGCACGGTGAATTTTTAAATGAAAAATCGTAAGTTTGGCCTCCTACTTCAGTCGCACGTTCCTCATTCACCTGCTCCTCTCCCTTGTCACAAGCTATTTTTGCATTCAAATGACTAATTTCTGATAAGAGCATCGGCATAGGGTGTTCATTAAGGAAATACTTATGTCAATTTCTGTACTATTTTTTATTTCTACTGTGGATAATTGAATTGCTTATATTTGGTACCAGGGCTGGCCACACATTCAAACAAAACGGGATTGGTGGGGTTCCAGGGTTGCAATCCAGCCTGCTCCTCTCCCTTGTCAAAAGCTATTTTTGCATTCAAATGACTAATTTCTGATAAGAGCATCGTACTATTTTTTATTTCTACTGTGGATAATTGAATTGCTTATATTTGGTACCAGGGCTGGCCGCACATTCAAACAAAACGGGATTGGTGGGGTTCCAGGGTTTCCATCCAGCCAAGTACAGAAAACAGCAAGCTTCTGCTGTTACAAATATAAAATGCTTTAATTGACTCGCTGATAGGAAAAGAAAACATAAGAAATATGCATTCTACTGTTATTTTTTACTACCTAATTCTGCACAATAAGCACATTGTAGCTTTTCTTCGCCCACAATGATTATGCCAAAATTTTCCACTGCAACAAATACGCTTGAAAGAAACGCAACTTCAAGGCCAAAACGCTTCAAATTGGTTCAGTGTTTGAAATTTGCATGTCAATGCGAGCTGACAAAAATGTCTGGGCAAGCTCCAGTACACGTGCTGCCCAGGCCAAACCGAATCGGGCTAACTGAAGCACTCGCAGAGGCCAAAAGCAAAAGTTAAGACACACTTTCGGCACCTCCCTTCCCTCCCATCTCCAGCTCCATCGCCCACCTGTCCACTTGACCACGAGCGGCACTAAAGGCAGCGGGGGTAACACTCAAAAATGCGTCGAACAGTGTTTGTTTATCGTTTAATTAAAACAGAGAAAAACGAAAAACTGTCACGACTTTCCTCGCCTAATGAACTTCTTCTTTTGCGAGTAAACAAACGGTAAATGCCCCATCCCAAAAGTCTGCCCGTTCATTCGATAGTCAAATATAGCAGGTTAATAACGTTATCGATGGAACGTGCTCGAGCGCTCTCCCTCGCACCAACGATCGCTTACGTGGTTACAACACTCGCACAGTGCGAGTGGCGGGCCAATAGACGCGGATGATCGTCGGAGGGTGGAGGAGAGAGCGAGAAAGACAAACAGTTTGCCAACGAACGACCTACTACCTACCTACTGCGGCTATTCGGCCATAACTCTGCCCCCTTAATCCTCCCCCATCCATCCATCCATCCATCCATCCATCCAAACGTAGGGTTCTGACTGATCCGAGTTTCCCCATTTGGCTGGAGTGAAGTGCTCGCCAGTGGTATTCACTCGCTTTTGTTTTGGGTTCTCCACAATGACAGCGGTTTTGCTTTCAAACGATTGCCTTCTCAACTATGGCCAAGCGCCTTGTTATTGCCAATAGCTTTGCCATTAGTCACCTTTGTTGATGATTGATTTTCCCCAGAACAAATCCCAGTTACCAGATATTTGCTACTACTTGCGAGCCACTTATTAGCAGTAGGAACAGATTGCCAATCAAAGCTAATAACTTCTGGCAGTTGGTGAATTCCTAAACAAATGATTACGCTTTAAGCAGTTTAAAATTCAAAACATATACCTATAGCAAAAATGTAAGTTTGTAAAAAAATGTTTATCCAAATTACAAAAAATATTTATTTTGAAAAAATGGTTTCCCAAAGTGTTTCCGAAATCAAACCATACGTTTTGAACTTGAACGGTTTATCAGAAGAAAGCGATTGCATTTTGTCAATTCATTTTGTTTTCTGGTGGCTCCTAATAGCTGTATTTGGGTTTACATTTTCACTATCTGTCTCTGGTTGTGCAACCAACTTTGAGATATCCTCCCAGCACTCCCTCTAATGTCAGTCATTTCAGTGGCTGTGTCGCACATTTGATTATGCACTGGCTCAGCAACGGGTTATCAATTGTCTTGGTGCCGGTCCCACAAATTAAAAAACCATTAGAAGTGCAACGGAACCGCCGGTTGGCTCGCCAATGTGCAGTTTCGTTTCGGTGACAAAGTTTCTAGCGTGCCTGACCACCGTACTTAAATACATACTACCATAGCAGGTTCTGACTGATCTCGACCCAGAACAACAGAAAATGGACTGGGTGCGGCTGGGAGCTTTGTGCTCCCGATCAGTATTCATTTTGTCAAAGCGCTGCCCCGTCCGCCGACCTGAAGTAGATCACTTCCTGTGCAGGCCTTAAACGAACTGCACGACAATGACGGACTTCGGTCCGGAACTTTCCGATGCCATCATATTGCGACTGGCTAATTTTAAGAACTCGCAAAGAAAGCCAGCCTGGTAATTACTTGTTTCGAGTGCTCTGAAGCGGAACGGAGCTTCGGACCTGCCCAAAAACTACACACGTAACTCCAACGTGTCGTATTTCGATTCGTTCTGCTTTTGCACATGCTACCCATAGAAAAATCTCGACGAGCATTCTAATCGCGTCAGGCTGTGGATAATGAAAATGACATTGAATTGCCTCATGTTTCGATCGGCACTGATTTCAATCAATTTTCAGCCACTAAGCTCGAGAATTTGCCAAAAACGATTTTCAATTGCTTTCGCGTGCTAGCAAAATTCTCTTAGCGGAGAGCTAACCAGCAGCGAATTTATGGGAAAGTGACAACTGAAAACGTAGCCGGAACTTGATAGTTTTGTGGTCTTCCATTTTCCATCGCCTCGTTAAAAGGAATGGCAATGGCAGCCGCAGTTTGAACGATTCTGGAAAAGTGGTCTCGGGCGGAGGGAGGGACTCCGCTAGCAAGCCTACCATTAACAAATTATTTAGCCATAAAAACCAAATCTATTGCCCCGGTCGGAGCGGACCACGCCAAGTCCGTCCGACCATATTTATTTTTAGATGTCCGAACTGGTTGCGTTCCCAGCTGCTGGTCGTCTGCAATGATATGGAATTTGTGCAGCAAGTGTTTCTGCGTGCCGTGTGTTGCGATTGCAAGCCCCGTCTTAGGCATCCTGTCCGGCCTGCAGTCAGGCTCAATTAAATGGGCCCCAGTCCAGCAGCTCGCATTTCACAGCCAAGAAGAAAAACTGCATTTGAGCAGGCACATTGTTATTGTTCGTCTATAGATCTATGCATCGCGGTGTTGTGTGCTTATTTAACCAGCATGTCCCGAGCCAGCTTGAAATTGCTCTGGAAATTCACTGCAATTGGCGCCATCCAACAATTAAGTGTGGCTCCAATCGCTTCAACGTGAATTGGCTTGGCTTGGTTTGGTTTTAAAAATAGACACATGGTCCACAGCTTGATCCACAACTGTCAATTGGCAAGAGCATCGTCTCCAAGGCTGATGACGGCCACCAACTTTAGCTTAACTGCAAGCTCGAATGCCGGAAATAAGTTATTTTTTAACTAATATAGAGTTGATGCAAGAGCAATTCTAATGAAAGACGTTGATAGCTGCTTCGAAAGTGAGCGATGTTAAATATGAGATTTAAGTTGATCGAGAAGAACAAATTCACCAGCTATAAAAAGCACTGTGCAAACCAGTAATATGCGTTAGAGTAATATGTGTTAGTCTTATTTAACTTAGCTTTTTATAGCAAAGGTATAGGAACTAGGATACAATTTGTCGATCAACTCGATTGACCGATTAACCCTGCCAATCGACTTTATCACAGCTGATCGCATGGCGTACAATCGTATTTGCAGTAGTCGCTGTAGTAGTTGTTGCTGGTTTAATAAAATAAATAACAGTTGATTAATATTTTCCCAGAAGCCTGACGTCAGATTGGTTGAAATTTATAAATAAATCAGTTGGGGGATCTGGTTTTCCATTGACTTACCGTTATTGTTTATATCTTAAATAATTTCATATCCTAGCACGTTTTATATTGTCTAGTATATATATTGACTTATGCAACTTTATTTGTCAAAACGATTTTAAGAAGTTAAATTTTGTGAACAAGGCTAATATATTACATGACGTTGATATTTATTAATACTACGTTTAGTTTTTCCGTGTCCATTATAAGATTACTTAAGTAGATACCTCTATTATTAACTAGACCTCAAACCATTTAATTAAACTACATCCAATTTGGACACAGAGTTAGGGCATTTCAAATAAAATTGGACAACTGTAATGTAATTTGTCCTCTTATATGAGTTTTATATTAACCGAAAATAGGGGAATAGTATTTAAAATGACCATCAGAGGAGGCTTTACTGTATGTCGACGGTTCATGATGATTGCTCAAGTGCTTCTAATTAAACACGAGACGTTCAGCGGATGTTGGGTCTCTGCGGCAACAGGCAATTATAGAGAAAGTGACAGTGCAGTAGCTGGACTGCATGTCTGCGTATCAGTTCCAATGAAAATGGTACTCCAATTAATACGCGCCTGAAGACGGGAGGCGGCACGGGGCTTTTTGGTATGCAGGAATTCACGAGAAATACCCAAAAGGTAGTAATAAACTTAAAGTTGATTAGGGGCAGCCCACTCGGGGAAACAGCTTAGACAACAAATTAGTAAATGCAAATTTCGAGCCCCTGCCACCTGATAATGCTGATGAAGATGGAGATCATCGCCAGCTGGGTAGTTCACACCATCTCTTAGTCAAACTCGTGACGTGCTGAGAACCGAACCGAACCGACCCAACCCGTTTCGTTGGTGTCCGCTAACAGATTGCACAAACAATGCCGGCGGACTTCGTCATGACCTGCTTCAATGAATTTTAGTAATGGCAGCTCCAGAAGGAGGAATAGAGAGCGACCGCAAACGATTGACAGTGGCTGACGGGGCCAAACCGTTGCTCGAGTCCGTGCAAGCTGCCAAAGTTAGTCGCGTCTGGCCCAATTGCCTCGAGTGATTGGAAACGGGTACGAGGAAATTAGTCCAAGAGGCCCAGCCAAAGGGGCTCTAAGGGGCGGCATACTCGTGTCAATCAAGTGGACCCCGGGCTCGTCATCTGGGCCAACTGGCTGGCCAACGAAACGGGCTCCTTTCTTCCAACTGTGAGGTGCGAGCCAGAGGCCTCCAAGACCTACTCGATTGATTCGGCAGTTAATCTAATTTTAACTCAAAAGTGCATGCGTCCAGGCCGGCCAAGTGCAATTAAGTTACCAGCTGAAACTAGCCAAACTCGTTACGACAAAGATCGAACATGCAGCTCGGCAGAGCCGTTCCAGCAGCCATGGCCAAAAAAAGCCTAAGACCATGTTGGGGCGTAGAAAAATTGTAGAAAAAACGAAAATCCTCCACGCCTTGAATGTTGTTGCACATATTTTTAGACAAAATCGAGTTACACTGCTGCGCGGTGTTTAAAAATAGCTCCAAGCTGCGGGCACTGTGGCAAGACGAGCGATGGAGCACAGTCCGATCTTATGGAAGCTGCGCATGCGCTTGGCTTAGGCATGCTAAGCTAGTTTTAGCAAGACGTCCACACCAGTTGTCCTTGCCTCTAGGTTTATAAATATAGCCTTGCCTTAGACCAAGTGTCTATGCAGTGGATCTTCCCTATCTCGAATTTGTATAACATATACCTGCAACTTAACTTAAAGTATGTTATTGTTTAACAAGAAAGGAAGCTAGCTTCGGCTAGCCGAAGCTTATATACCCTTGCAGTCATCAAATATGTGGACCAAAATACACAAAGGCTAAACAACATCGAAGCTATGTCGATTTTTGTATTAAGTTTTTATATTTTCGATGGTTGTTCATATGACAGCTATATGATAAGGCCGTTCGACTTTTATGAAATTTAATTCCAAATTGAAGAGTCATCAGAAAACACTATATTCCAAAAATGAAGCTTGTTTATTTGAAAAACAACTATGAAATATTTTTTTCCGTTAATTCTATATAGAATGAATATACTTTATGGGGTCTGAGGTGTCTCCTTCACTGCGTTGCTAACTTATAACTGAAATTATAACACCCTCTGCTCTGCAAGGGCATAAAATGGGTAGTCGGTACTCGTTGAGTTACAGAGTTGGCCGATCTTACGTTTTGTTTGCGTTTATCGTCCGGCTGAATCGGCTCGCCACCGGCATTAGCTACTCCTAACAGCTCCGACAGGATGCCCATTCCCGTCGTCGACTTGTCTTGTGTGTAATTAAATCGTGTTGCATATTTATGAAAGTCATGCATGCACATAAATGGTTGGAGCGCAGCAAGGCAACGCGACCAGGCCGGAGAATGTCTATAAATACGCCAAAATGGCTCTTCCCTGACCGTCGGCCTCGGCGAAGAGCAGAAATGTTGCAGTGCATTTAATGGCGTCTAATAAACGCTTATTGGCGTAATAGACACGTGCTGGCGAGGAGTCAGCCTGCCCCCCGCATGTGCCTCGTCAATCAATCAACCAGTATGCAAACACGCCTCCCATTCATGAGCATGTTCGGCCAAGGCATCATCCTGTTGACTGGCAAATTGCGAGATGACTTTGTTGCGATTGGAAGCAGTGGCTGCTGCTGCGTACGACTTTTTGTAGAAATCAAACAGCCGCTCCTGGACAAACAGAGATCAAATTAAAACTACCCCGCCTGGAGGGGACTTGACTGCAGTTACCAGTTCTCTTAATAACATATTTAAATGGCTTTGAGCACTTAGAATCGTTGGCTCAAGACCCGCCTGCAGCTGCCCACTGAATTGCAATGGAGGCAAGAACATTAAAACAGAGTTAAAGTTTGCAGACTTCTTATGGTTCGGTTCAAACTTTTTTTAATGATCTATTTTCCCTTTGAGTGGCCCTCTTCTGTTAAGTTTCGTTTGAAACCCCATGAGCTTGTTTTTAAGTGGCGACTACCCCATATGAGACGCATGCACATCGCGACTTAACCATTTTTCGGCTCACAGTAAGTTGCGCAGATTCGGCCACGCTTCTGTCATCATCCGCTATCTGGCTATCTGGTTCGTCACGAACTTCAAAATGTGGATTGGACTGTTATGTAAGAGATCTGTCACAAAAAACTTTTAATTGACCACCTCCTGCTGTCGGCGAGACGAAGAGAAAGAGATATAGACGAATAGAGATGCTCGAGACAACATCCAGTTACTTTTCTTTATTAAGGTCAATGTTAATGCTGCATCGAATGGGATTGAAATGTTTCGTGTTTTGACAATTCATGTTGACCGTTGCGATATCAACAAAGTAACAAATCGTTCGGGAGCAGGTGCTGGTTTCTTTAGAAGGTGTAGTGTGCTCCCTGATTTATTTCCTACTGAGTCTAAGTATACTTGCTAATTATCCCGTTTCGATAGCAATGAAAGCGCTGATCAGACAGCCAATATTTTCCAAATATCTAAACGGAAGTGCTATTTTAGAGCTCTTGACGCCTCAAGCAGTACATTTAAATTTAATAGCTATTAAAAAACCACATACCAGTAGCTAGGGAAGGCAATTGTGTAATGACTAAACTAAAATTGTGGGCGGGGGCGCCAAAACGAACGTGAAAGTGACAATTTATATTATACATATGTGACTCAAAGATAGAGTGTATTTCTAGGCCTCCCACGCGACTCCTCAGTCCCTCCCGTTTCTGCTGCTCTTTATAACAACGCCAGAGAAACTGGCTTAGGGGATAGCACGGTGTAACCTCGATGGATTGCTTTCCTTAATAAATTTACCCGTTTTATGGAAAAAAAAAACTTTTAATGTTTTCGTGTGATATGTACAGAATTTGACTTGCCTGCCATACTAATAGTTTCCTTCTCGCCGATTTAATTGCAGCTGGTACTTCCGCAAAATCAAACGCATTGAGGCTGAGAAAAAACTTCTACTGCCAGAGAACGAGCACGGTGCATTTTTAATTCGAGATTCCGAGAGCCGTCACAACGACTATTCGCTATCAGGTGCGTGCCCAACAAGGCGTTCAATTAGCAGTGTTGTGACTTATGTGACGGGGTTTTAATGTATAATTATTGAATAAATGTATAAATGCTTTTTGCAGTGCGCGATGGCGATACGGTTAAGCACTATCGCATCAGACAGTTGGACGAGGGCGGCTTCTTCATCGCCAGACGCACAACTTTCAGGTGAGTTCCCATCATTCGAGGGACCGCAAGCCGGCAGCTCCATAAAGCCGACGCACTTACACCTCTTTCTCTTCCAAAACAGAACCCTCCAGGAGCTGGTCGAACACTACTCCAAGGACTCGGATGGCCTGTGCGTCAACCTCTGCAAGCCGTGTGTTCAGGTAAGCCGAGAAGGGAATGCGGCTGACGTAGCCATTTTTTGCTTTGGTTTAATCGCGCATTACACACACCTTGCCGCAAAACGGGTGGATGCGGGGTATGATAACACTTACATTCGACATTATTATGCCTTGGTTTGTTCATTTCGAAATGCCCAACACGTGTATACTAAAGAACTCTTTTATATTTTCCTTGTATTTCTTTCATGTTTCTTTATTTAACACCAAATTATGTCTGTAAAATACTAACAATACAAAACGATAACCAAACCAACTCGAATAAAATAAAAATCAATAGACAAATTCTTTTTCGGGTGTCTTTGAGGTAGGATTTCTATCTAAGCCGTTATGATGTGCGTGTGTTCATTTCCTATCAACACAACCGTACCAAGTATTTATTCTGTCACCACCAATCAACACCCTCACTCAGAATTAAATTAACCGATCATATTCCATTATAGAATATACTGTAATAAAAACAATTCGAAATCAGACATACAGTCAGTGTTCAAATTGCAGTTAAGGCGATTCCTGGTTACCTACAGTCTCTACCAAACACTCCCGTGCGAAATTTGAAATAAATATTGTAATGTTTAATATCGCGTATCCAATTACTGCCAAAAAGCATTCAAGGGAAGCTGAAAATTGTGTCCGAGTTAATCGTCTAAAATGTTTTTACTTAGCAGCAATATCTACAGGTTAAAACTGGTATTTGGCACTCTGACTGTTTGACTTTGAACCCCGAATTAAGACCCTGCAAATCTATTCACATCCGTCCCAACTAATGGAACAAATACTTGTAATTTGTAAATAAGGCCTAAATGTACGCTAAACGTCCATTGCTCAATTGGCACGATCATTTTTCCAAGCCATACACTGTTGCGCCTGAAATTGTGCAATAGAAAAAGCATTTACTTATCGACTTCTCTGTCGTCCCCCATGTAACCGTCGCATCGCAGATCGAGAAACCTGTCACCGAGGGACTTTCGCATCGCACCCGCGATCAGTGGGAGATCGATAGGACGTCCCTCAAGTTTGTGCGCAAACTGGGCTCTGGACAGTTCGGAGATGTGTGGGAGGGACTGTGGAACAACACGACACCCGTGGCCATTAAGACCCTGAAGTCCGGTAAGTGTGCATTCCGATATAAGTCTAGTGGAATAGTTCAGTAAATTGTCCCCTGCTTTCAGGCACAATGGACCCGAAGGACTTCTTAGCGGAAGCACAGATCATGAAGAAACTGCGCCACACTAAGCTTATACAGCTGTACGCTGTCTGCACTGTAGAGGAGCCCATCTACATTATCACGGAGTTGATGAAGCACGGTTCACTGCTGGAATATCTACAAGGTATGCCGCGGACGAACCTGCGAGGATAAGTCGCGTCCAAAAACTTTTGCTGCTTGCATTACCCCAAATCGAATCGAATCGAACACTCTTTACCACCTACACGAACCGCCACGTCAACCAACCAACCAACAGCCGCTCGCTTATCATGTCATGGCACTTGCTTATTTTTGTTTTTAATATTTTTTAGCCATTGCAGGCAAGGGTCGTAGCCTCAAAATGCAGACGCTGATTGATATGGCCGCGCAAATAGCTGCTGGCATGGCCTACCTGGAGTCTCAAAACTACATTCACAGAGATTTGGCGGCACGCAATGTACTTGTTGGCGATGGTAACATCGTCAAGATTGCCGACTTCGGTTTGGCCAGGTATGTGTAGGACCCCGGGGGCGTCAAAAAAATTCAAACAAATACTCATACATATTCCGTTCAGGCTCATTAAGGAGGACGAGTACGAGGCACGAGTGGGCGCCCGCTTCCCCATCAAATGGACGGCTCCCGAGGCAGCAAACTACAGCAAATTCTCAATCAAGTCCGACGTCTGGAGCTTCGGAATTCTTCTTACAGAGCTGGTCACATACGGACGCATACCATATCCAGGTAAAACAGGCTCGGCTGACTCAGAAAGCCGCAGTTCCGGAACCATCTAATCAACCGACTCTACTCCTTAGGTATGACCAACGCCGAAGTCTTAACACAAGTGGAGCACGGCTACCGGATGCCGCAACCGCCCAACTGCGAGCCTCGCTTGTACGAGATTATGCTGGAGTGTTGGCACAAAGATCCGATGCGCAGACCCACGTTTGAGACGCTCCAGTGGAAGCTGGAGGACTTCTACACATCCGATCAAAGCGACTACAAAGAGGCGCAGGCCTACTGATAAATGCTTTACCGAGTCACGAACGCGGCTAGCACACGTGACGAGAAGCAAGAGAGCTGCAAATAATCGCCGGGCATCCCAAAACGGACAATTCTTACTAAGTTACTTACTTGAGTTTTGCATAGGTTTTCTACTGCTGCACATCGCGAAATGGGGCCATCTTCAGGGCCCTTGGGTGTGCTTGTCTAGGTAACTCCATACGATACGATTCATGTTATTAGCGTTTAAGCTAACAAGTAGTTGCTAAGATGGATGCAACTTCATTGGACGTTCCATTGGGACATTCGTTTTGTTGTTTATTATGACAAAAATATGAATACTTGGTACGTTCTGACACCCTTGTCGTATTTTTCGATTAATCTATTACACGTATTATTATTCATATAATGCATAAAGCATATACATACGCGCATACACACTTATATATATATATGAACACTTACATATAGATATACAGCCGTATAGTCAGAAGTATGCCTAGGAACCTCCTTTATTCAAATATGCAAGCACACACTTCCCCCAACCCTGATTTTTTAGTTAATAGGCAAATCTGAAAACAACATTTGCAGCTTGCAAATGTAAACAAATGATTCGCTTTTAGTTAATTCATTACGTACGTGTCTTACCCCAACTCTCACTCAACATTATCAACGACATTATATGCTTTATCACAAATAGAAAAGTAAAAAGCGAAACCAACGCCAATCATCAAGTGCTAGCTATACGCTACTTTGCCGTGCGCAGCAGCTAAAATCCATATGATTAATTATTTAGAGTTAAACTGTAATTTGTAACCATTTAATAATATTCAGCTTATGATTAAACATACATACATATATACAAAACGTGTACATTTAGAACAAGGATAATAAATTTCTCTATAATTTATAAATCTAAAATCCAAGACAATTGTAAATCGGACGTAATCGAATTGGCATTTCAGTCTGCTCCGTTTTGTACTCTTACAGCAGGTGCTTTAATTCTTGTTATAAATATGCCGAAAAAGTAAAAAGAACAACTCGCAACATTAGACATTTAAAGACTTTAGCTCTCTTTCAGAGACTTTTTTAAACAAATGTGGTTTTCATTACTTTAATTGTCTATTACATTTTCAAAACAAAGCCTTTTTTGTGTTGTCCAAATTAGCAACTTTGCCGCCCGGTTCGGTGCCGAGCTTAGAGAATTGTATTTCTTCGTTTTCTTTTTGCATTAACACAACTTATAGTAAAACATGTAGAAAACAATATGATTTATCGACAATAATTGCAAACATTTTGAGGAATTTTAAACCTAGAGACGATCTTTTTATTTTTTAATGTGGGCGGCAACTGTTTTAGTTTGGTTTCTCTCTTTGTAGAGCTGTGGTGAGTATTTGTGTAGGTCAATGGGTGAAAGAGTTAAGCAATTCTGTTCTTTCAAAATGTTAAAAAAACACATTGAAACTTGTTAAATTACCTAACCCACTTACATTTACTCTAAAGAAAGAATTAAACGAAGTCTGATTTTATTGACATATGCTAAAATTAGTATGAGTTTTAATGTAGTCTGTAAAAAAACTCTTAATCTCACTATGAATCTATATATGTACTGAATTGCACAAATTATCAAAATATGATTTTATAAGGCAGTTTTATTTAAAACACCGAGCCTACCGAAATTATAGAGGTTTTACACAATTTTGTCTATCATTCGGTGTAAATATGCTGACTGTCGCATGGGTTGCTTGAATTGAAAACCTATTCAACATTAAAACTCTATCATATTAAATATGTACAAAAATTATATGGAGAAAATAGTAATCATGTATAACGGTCGATTCAATTATATTAAACGAAGCCGAACCACACGCGGATCAAGCTTCTAACCCAAGTAATGTAGAAGTTAAGAAAATATGCTAACCACATTTGACGATATATGAATAAAGTAATATAATTATTTTTAAAACTATAGCTTTGATCCATGACAGGCGCCATATATGGGCATCGTCGGTCAACGCAGCCGCTTTACTCACTAATCACCTTTCTGGCCATACTTGATTAAATTTGGTCAATACGAACCCCAGAACCAGATTAACAATAGATTTGTTAGAGATCCCCCTAAAATGTCGCTCTCTGCTTCTGACAATGGGGATGGGTAGCGTCCGGACCCGCCCATAAACGAAGTCGACAAACAATGCCAATTGATGACAACCACAACTACGCCAAACATTCGTGTGTGAGTCAACAATGCGGCTTTGTTTTCGCCTCGATTTGCAGTGACGAGTGCGAGTGCGAGTGCGCGTGCGATTCTACACCACTATTTCCTTATAAGGCAACGCTTGTGCAGCTGTTTTTGGGGTTTCACTTGCCTCGCTCGCAATCAATCAACGTAAAATACAACTAAGTCTGGGCGGGGTCGCGTGATAAGCGGAGCGAATCCAAACTGAATCACACCCCATGCACTGATAGCCGAGGCGGCGGAAATCGAAGGCAGAGCTGACCAAGTGATTGGTTGGTTATCCAGACATTTCCTGCAAAACGATGTTTGCCCGCATCTGACTCAAACACCAGACCAGCGCTTGCCTTATTAGTAAGCGCTTTATCGCCGCCGACGCCCTCGTCGCCGCATGCCAGAGGAATGAGCGCATAAGCATCGGAATAACACTGCCGCAGATCGCCGCTTAGTCATGAGTTAGCCCAATGCTAGTAGCTGCCATTAACGAGTGAAGGAGCCAGGGGTATTTCAGTTCTTTTTGTCGCTTTATTATTAAGAAGCGGTTACAAGTATTTTAGTGGTATGGTATGTTTTATTTTAATACATATGTAGGAATGCGTGGAAGTAATGGAAATGCCAAATATGAGTCAATTTTATAAATGCCAATGTGCATATGAACTTGAATTTCGAATAGAACACAATATGGTTTGTTTATGCGTACGTGTGCAATTGTTGTGTAAAAAAGTAGATGGAATGCATTCTTCCGAAAGGAGCGGGAGTGTTGTGCGCCTGCTCCCGGTATTAATGTACTCATGCCCAATACTTCTGCCTCCCGTACTTCGTCTGTTATGGGTGTGTTCGGTGCGGCACGACCACGACCACGCCCAGCCCGGCTCCTGCTTAGAAGCACTTGCGGTGGACAATGGAGGGGCCGGACTCGTCGTATTCCTGCTTCGAGATCCACATCTGCTGGAAAGTGGACAGCGAGGCCAGAATGGAGCCACCGATCCAGACAGAGTATTTGCGTTCTGGCGGGGCCACAATCTTGATCTTCATTGTGGACGGAGCCAGAGCGGTGATCTCCTTCTGCATGCGGTCAGCAATGCCGGGATACATGGTGGTGCCGCCGGACAACACGGTGTTGGCATACAGATCCTTACGGATGTCGACGTCACACTTCATGATTGAGTTGTAAGTGGTCTCATGAATGCCGCAGGCTTCCATACCCAGGAACGAGGGCTGGAAGAGCGATTCGGGGCAGCGGAAACGCTCGTTTCCAATAGTGATGACTTGTCCGTCGGGCAGCTCGTACGACTTCTCCAGAGAAGAGCTAGAGGCGGCCGTGGCCATCTCCTGTTCAAAGTCGAGCGCTACGTAGCAGAGTTTCTCCTTAATGTCGCGCACGATTTCGCGCTCGGCGGTGGTGGTGAAAGAATAGCCACGCTCGGTCAGGATCTTCATGAGGTAGTCGGTCAGATCGCGACCAGCCAGATCCAGACGCAGGATAGCGTGGGGCAGGGCGTAGCCCTCATAGATCGGCACGGTGTGGGAGACACCGTCTCCGGAGTCCAGCACAATACCGGTGGTTCGGCCGGAAGCATACAACGACAGCACCGCCTGGATGGCAACATACATGGCCGGGGTGTTGAAGGTCTCAAACATGATCTGAGTCATCTTCTCACGGTTGGCCTTGGGATTCAATGGGGCTTCGGTTAGCAGAACGGGATGCTCCTCGGGGGCGACACGCAGTTCATTGTAGAAGGTGTGGTGCCAGATCTTCTCCATGTCGTCCCAATTGGTCACGATGCCGTGCTCGATGGGGTACTTCAGGGTGAGGATACCGCGCTTGCTCTGAGCTTCATCACCCACATACGAGTCCTTCTGGCCCATTCCAACCATCACGCCCTGGTGACGTGGACGGCCAACAATTGAGGGGAAGACGGCACGCGGTGCGTCATCACCGGCAAAGCCGGCTTTGCACATGCCAGATCCGTTGTCGACGACCAAAGCTGCAACCTCTTCATCACACATTTTGATGTAGATTGATTGGGATCTGGAATGGAATAGAACGCCAAATATGTACACTAGAATCGAGAAGCGACCGGTCAGCGCTGTCAGTCACAAAAGAATTTCGCCAAGTACAAGCAAAATGAAAATGTAGACAGACTCTTCTCAGCTCCCCGGAAAACTAAGGTGACGGAACGGAGCACAGGATTCGCGCACCAACCGACGAACAAAGAGGCAGACAGGAACCTTACCTTTTGTGGAAATATGTAAAACGAGTAGCTTTTAGTTATCCGCTGCGCAAACTTAGCACAATGACAGACGCTTCACGATTGAACTGACCGACGCCTTCTTTTCGAAGTAAAGTGGTTGAAAACCAGTGTGACCATCCGACATGGAAAATAAAGTGGTAATCAGCCATGAAAAAATGCCTTAATTCCACTCATCGTTTATTATTTATTCTGCTTGGAAAATATATTAAGGGTGTTCCTTACTCATTGGAGTAGTTAAAAGTTTAACGATAAAAAAGCAAAGAGACAATAGAAAATATTTTTATGCAACGAACCCAAGCACTTAACTAAAGAATACATTAAAAAAAATATTGTGTTTGCAAAGAAAGCTCAATCGTGGATTCATATTTACTTTGTTCAGTTTCTTGAACAAAAAATTGATATGTGGAAAAATACGCTGGTGAAGCTCTTACTGGTGTAAAATAAATCTTGGCAAATAATAAAACAATAGATTACTTCAAAATTATAAAAAACACTGCAAAATTTTCAAAACTACGAAACATTTTTAAACGTTATAAAGACATAAAGCATATTTTTATCACCCGTATACTTTAATATATTTTCACTAATGTATGTTGTTTTTAAATGTGCCGTTCCCAATTACAAAACAAACATCAGTGGAAACGGCTATTCCGCAGATGCGCACGGCATATCTTTTGGTTATCGCTTCTATTTTGTTGAATTTTCCTCGTTTTTCAACACATTACCCTTTGTTTCAGCCCGACTAACAACCCCTTCATCAGACACCCTAGAATTGTTGAATTCTGATAAGAGCAACTAGTCATCATTATGGTGGACATCAACTTGGAATGCGTACATCAGATAGAGCCGAAGACCCGCTCCACGGGGCAGCAGCAGCAGGGTCTGAAGGAGGCCTACTTGGAGGCGGTACGCATTTTGCTGGTATTGTTGGAGAACGTTCTGGCTCAGCCGGAGAACTCCAAGTTCCGTACCATACGTTTGGAGAACAAAGCGATCAAAGAGAAGCTACTCACCCTGCCCGGCTGCGAGAGGCTGCTGGACGCCATTGGCTTTATTCGCGCCCCTGAATCCAACGTTTACACCTTACCCACCGATGTGTCCCTGCAGCAGGTGCAGAAGTATCGGGATGCACTGAGCGAACGGCGTTCTGCCTGGCTTAGCGGCACCTTGCCAAAGAGTAAGCTTGTCTCTGGGGGGCAGAAATAAGCAAGTCCTAGTCCTCAACTTTGAGTCTTCAATAGGTCCGCCCCAGCATAGCGCCGCCAGCAACACGCTTTCGCCCCTGTTTATCAAGCCATCGGTGGAGTACCGCCAACGTATTGCTTTTCCTCGGGTGCTGGTAAGCGGGCGCCCAACAAGATCAGTCTTGGCTGGGCTCTCACCTGGATACTTGTTTTCAGCGAACCACCAACAACTTTTTACAGTCGCTGGAACTGTACTCTGATGCCGTCATGCAGTACGAGGACGAGCTGCTGCTGGCTACTGGCCGTACTCTGATACCCGTGGAAGAACTGACCGAAAAAGCTAGTGAAAAGTTGATGGAAATGCAGGAGCAGATTGCCTCAGGAGAGTGCCAAGAAAAGGAGCCCTGTGTCCGCGATCTGCTGCTCGTGGAGCTGGTCAACTGGTTCAACACGCAGTTCTTTCAGTGGGTAAACAACATACCCTGCAGAGTTTGCGGAAGTGAGGAGGGCAAGCTACGGCGGACCCAAAAGGAGGGAGATGTCCGTGTGGAAGTCACCGTCTGCTGCGGCCAGGAGAGCAAGTTTTATCGCTACAACGACATTTCCCAGCTTCTGGTCTCACGAAAGGGCCGTTGCGGAGAGTATGCTAATTGTTTTACATTCTTTTGCCGCTGCATGGACTACGATGCACGTATTGTGCACTCCCACTTCGACCACGTGTGGTCTGAGGTGTACTCCGATGCGCAGATGCGCTGGTTGCACGTTGACCCTTCAGAGAATGTTGTGGACTCGCCACTTATGTATCAGCACGGGTGGAAACGCCACATCGACTACGTGCTCGCCTACTCGCGCGACGACATCCAAGACGTGACATGGCGCTACACAAACGACCATCAAAAAATCCTACAACTGCGCAAACTGTGTAGTGAAAAGGAACTGGTGCAAACACTGGATCAGATTCGCTCAAAGCGGCGACGAAATTGCACCGCTGAAAGGATATTGTTCCTTGGGCAGCGCAACATGTGCGAAGTTATCAGCTTGACCCTCGAGCGGTAAGCTTTTAATACCATAGCATAGCTTACCAGCGACTACCGCTCTAATTTTTTTTCCTCTTTCTTCTAAGGGTTCCAACGGAAAACGAGCTTAAGGGAAGAAGCTCAGGCAGTCTCTCATGGCGACAGTCGCGGGGAGAGCACACTTTCACCAACGTTTGTGACCTTTGATTGCCTTTTGGTCCTTTATAACGACTTATGCATTTTGTTACAGATTTTTGTCTTCACCCTATACGAAGCCGAGCTAAAGAAACGACAACTCAATTTGCGTTACAGTTGCGCCACCGACACGTATGAACGATATGTCAATGGTAGGTTCAAATGAATGCATTTTCCTGGAACTATTCTTAACTTCTAAGTCCTTAGATACCGGAGTCGTCACTATTCTGGATACCTATAAAACCTGGCAAAAAGCGCAATTTTCCTCAAAAAATGTTTTTCGAAAAGTAGAGCGCGATTGGAAAATGGCTTATTTGGCTAGAGTAGAGGACACTGATAGTGGTGAAATTGTCTGGAAGTTTGACTTTAGCAAGAGCTGTCTGAAGGTTAAATCTTACAAGTTGGTATTCGAGACAAAAACTTTTGGAGAAGGAAAAATCACTGTAACCATTGAAGCTATTGATGGAAGCGCTTCCGTCGAAAATGCCAGTGGATTCCAGATTGTGGCTAAGCTTACCGGCGGTAAGGGCGACGTTGCGTGGCAGCACACTCAACTATTTAGGCAGAGTTTGAATTCCCGGGACTACCCCTTCGAACTTCATGTGGAATTACACTAAATAATTGTATTAAAGATATTCCGATAAAGATATAATGATTGTAAAAAGGCATGTACGATTCCCAGAACGGATAAAAAAATTAAATACAATAATGTATAATTTATATTAGGATTAAGGTTATGGCACATGGTGCTATTTAAGTCATTCTCCTTAAAGCCTAAAAGCGTTGTTAAAAAAAAAACTAAGAAAAAACTTTTCTTAAACTGTGACTATTCTAAAAAAAATAGATTTATTGTCTCAGGTGACATGCAGGGACGGTCGCTGAAAAAAATTTAGGGGGTTGTAGGACAGAAAGTATGTATATACATATATTCTTTATCAGCATCACGATCTGAATCAAAATACGTCTGTACGTCTTTCCGTCTGTCCTCCTGTCTGTTTCTATGTAAGCTAGTCTCTCAGTTTCAAAGCTATTTTGTTGAAACTTTACCAAAAGTATATACGTCGAAACGGGGCGAATCGGGCGACTATATCAGAGAGCTTTAGTACGAGAAATTAAAAAAAAAAATTATCACGCCGTTTTTTTGATCATTTTTTTTTTTTTTTTTTTTCTTCCAAATGCTGTTTTTATACCATTGCAGAGCAAAAGGTTATTATAATTTCAGTCAAAGGTTTGCAACGCAGTGAATATATGCATATATATACAGTGAATCACATTAATATTCGGGTTTTCATTTTCTCAATTACAAATGCAAAAAAAAAGATTATAACAAGAAAGGAAGCTAGCTTCGGCAAGCCGAAGCTTATATACCCTTGCAGTCATCAAATAAATCGAACAAAATACATAAAGGCTAAACAACATCGAAGCTAAGACGATTATTCTATTCATTTTCCATATTTTCGACTATAGATCATATGGGAGCTATATGATATAGTTGTCCGATTTTGATCAAATTTAGTCCTTAGAAAACTTTATATTCCAAAAATCATGCTTATCTAATAAAAACCAACGATGTTATAATTTTATTTCCGGTATTTCTATATAGATTTTTCGATCTTTCCTATGGCAGCTATAAGATATAGATGACCGATTTTTATGAAACTTTTTTCTCAATATAAGGGTTGTTAAAAAACTTGATATTCAAAAAATCATGCTCGTGGGTTAAAAATCAACGATGTTATCAAATTTATTTCCATTAATTCTATATATATTTTTCGATCTCTCCTATGGCAGCTATATGATAGAGTTATCCGATTTTGATCAAATTTAATCCAGAATTCAATAACAGTTAGAAAACGCCATCTTGAAGAATTCAAGTCGATCTGATAAAAAACAACGGCGTGAGAATTTTTTATTTCATTCTCTCGTATGGGAGCTATCCGATATAGTCGGCCGGTCCGGCTCGTTCCGACTTATATACTGCGTGCAATAACTATACACCTTTTGGGAAAGTTTTAGCAAGATAGCTTTAAAACTGAGAGACTAGTTTACATAGAAACAGACAGACGGACAGACAGACAGACGGACAGACGTACAGACGTATTTCGATTCAGATGGTGATGCTGATCAAGAATATATATACTTTATGGGGTCTGAGGTGTCTCCTTCACTGCGTTGCAAACTTCTGACTGAAATTATAATACCCTTTTGCTCTGCAAGGGTATAAAAAGACTTTCAAAAAAAATTGTTGATAGAAAACGAAAGCCTTTTTTATTTCCTATTCATAAAGATAAATACAAAAAAAATGTATTTAAAATTAAAAATAAAATTAAACAAAAAAGAATAACAACTCAAAATTTACGTTACTTTAATATTAGGTATTTGTTTTTAGAACTAAGAAAAAACTATTTTATCTAAAAATTAAATTTATTCTAATATTAGGTGTGAGCATATTTAAAAATTTTTTTGGTGTATTTGCCGCCAATTTTCGCCCACTCTTCAGGAAGAGTTTTTTTTTAAATCCGCTAAAGAAGATATCGGCGTTTGGTGTACCCGGCGGTCCAATTCACTCCGCAATTTTTCAATGAGATTGAGATCAGGTGCTTGAGGCGACGTTTCCAAGACTTTTGGGCAGTTTTAAAGCAACCAGGACTTGTCTTTATGGGCTTTGTGCTTTGGGTCATTGTCCTGATTTAATTTAAATATGTTTCCAATACCCATTTTCTCCGCCGACTGCTTAATATTTTCTTTTAAAATTGTAAAATACTGATCTTTGTTCATGATGCCATCAATAAACACCAAGTTCCCCACTCCTTTTGTGGAAATGCAGCCCCAAAACACCACACTTCTCCCACCAAGTTTCACTTTTGGCCTTAGGTGATTTTTGTGCAGCTCTGTATTTTGTCTCCGCCAAACCATGGTCTTGCCGTCACTCCCGAAAAGATTAAACTTGCTCTCGTCTAGGAAAATAACATCGTCCCACCAGCTTTGGTCCTTTTTGGAGTACTCCTGGGCACAGTTTTCCTCAACTTTCGGTTGCGGCCAGATAGCAAAGGTTTTTTTTCGAGCAATTCTGCCGTTGTACCCATGTTTTTTTTATGGTACGCCAAAAAGTTTGCGCCGAAACTGCCTTCCCGTGATCGGCAAAGGGTTCAGCCAACACTTCTGTTGCACAAAGTCGAGGATTTTTTTTTACTTTTCGAAATTCCGGCTTCTTCTAGAAGAACTAGCTTTCTTTCTTGTTTGTTCTTTATATCGGTTATGTCAGATTTTTTAGAAGATGCAACTTTTTGTTTTTAAAAAATATTGAGAAGCTGATATGAAAAATTTAATATACCACGCTTTGGTCAGCCGAAGAAGAAGTTGGGTCCAAAATATTTTACATTTTAAATTTGAAAATTGGAATGTTTGACCCTTTTTTGACCATGTTTGCCCACCTCTTAGATTTTTTTGACCTCACAGTGAGATTCAGATGAACGATCCTACGATCCTGCGGTTCTTGAGATTGCATACTTGTTTATTATAAATTAAATACAAACTGAATAAGTTTCCTCAAAATCTTAGTCGACTTACAAGTGGTCGTATTTGCTTTGGACTATTAGTAATTTGATTTCGCATATCATATCTTTTTGGTTAAGCTTTGATAACAAATATACACATATACATCCTGTCTGTCTGCTCTAACTCTAGAGATAAAAGCTCGAAAGTAATCAAAAATCGATTTTGATCGAGTTACCAATTTTATTGTTTGTGAATCACTACGGACATTGCGTCCCCCGGAAGTTATTAAAATAATAATGCTATTGATTTCCGCTTTACTTTACTTTTACACAGTGGCGTAACTATACCATCTGGGGCCCGTGGCAAATTTTTTTGATGGGGCCCTGTCATTTTAATAAACCGCTTAAGGGGGGCTTCTCATGTAATATGTCAAAAAGTAGTTGTTTTTTGGGAATTTTTTTCACTTGGAAATTGAAAACTTACACGATTAATTTTTTGCATATATTTGAAGACATGTTTAAAGTATGAGAAAAACATTTTTGAAAATTCTAAAAAACAAAATGGCGGACTTATTCAAGGTCGCGTGTGGCGCGACGCGGCTGACGGATTTATTGCGGTACAGTGTGGAGCCCAAAGTTTTCATCGGAAAAATACAAAAAACATTTTTTAATATTCAGCAGGGTTCCCCCGAGTGCATGAATGTCTGCAACTTCAAAAAATTCGATTTTAAAATATTGAAATCACGTTTTGAAAAAAAATTGCAATTTTTTCGAATTTTTTTGTTGCTGAATTGGGCTGAAAAGTGTATAAAATAACTTTTTTTTCACAATTTCAGATATTCATACACTCGTTCAATGTATAATCTGCAAAACACTTTTTAGAAATCAAAAATCGGTTCAGTAGTTTTTTCGTAATCGTGTACCGCGTTTTTAAAATCATAGTATTGAGAAAAGATGATTTAAAGTTTTGAGTTAGTGGGTCTTGAACTTGTTTGCGCGCTCGTTCGATCACTCACATTTTCCATAATATTGAGAGTTGAGTCATAAAACTTCGGGAATATACTCTCAAGACGTTATTCTATCGATCTATGAAAAAAAAATCGTTTTTTTTAAATTTTACATGAGAAGCCCCCTTAAGTAGTTAGTTATCCGACACTGTATACATTTATATAGATCCAGAACTTAAAATATGTATATTTATATTATCAATTCAAATAAAATACACAGGTTCTTATAACACATAGAACAAAATCGGCCTCTTGAGCCGGGGCCCTCTTGGGTCGGGGGCCCGTGGCATTTGGCCACCTCTGCCACCCTATAGTTACGCCACTGCTTTTACATCTGGTCACTTAAAAACATGCCTTAGGTTGAGGAAGAGTATGTTGAAAAATACTATGACGGTTCAGATGTAGTCTCCAAAAACGTACTTAGAGGTGAGGGTACTGGTTACAGATGGGATTTGACCGTCTCTGAGAAAAAAAGGTCAATTTATATTTTGCCAAAAATTGGACACAGTTTGTCCACTTACTTGGTTTGCGATTTGACAACGCGCCGCACGTTCGTCATTATGGTGTCGATGTCTGAGGTCTTGCCCGATCGGTTAAGAGCTTCGCACAGCGTCTGAATAAAGGGAGTGCCATCCTCCGTGCGGTAGGAAACATATCCCTCGTAGGTGCTGTAGCACTTAAGGATCTCGTTGGGAGACCCGTTGGGTTGTGCTGCATCTGTCATAAAGCCACCCAGTTCGTTGGCCCCCTTGCAGGCTTGGACGAACAGCAGCTTAGGCTTGTCCTTAAGCGTCCGATTGCGCAGGAGTGGGAAGAGAACGTCGTAGTCCAGAGAGTAATCGTCATCCCTTGCTGCGAGTCTGTCGTGCCGCGTTCCATGGGTGAGAATCACAAGGACCAGTGCGCTCTTGTCCTGAAAGTCCTTGCGTTCCACTGCCGAGAATATGGGTTACAATACAGACCGAATGATAAAAAAAACACATGCTCTACTCACGCATCTCCACCGTCCGCTTAATGGTATTCAGAGTGGCGTCGTTAATGACCTCAACTTTGCACTTCAGCTGCTCAAAGGTGGCGCGCAGGACCTTCACATCCTGGGCACTTCCGGTGCGGAACTCGTTCTTGCTGTCAAAGCGCTCGTGGTTAAAGATATACACTCTGGCGGGCTTAAGCTTGATCTTGGACAGGCTTGACTTGGAAGTTCCCAGGCTGGCAGCACTATTGCCCTGCGCGTCGAGGGTGCGGGTACTGGGAGCTGTAGCTGTAGCCTTGGGCTTGGTCGCTGAGGAGCTTAGGCTGATGTAGGGCCTAGGCGCCGCAGTTGAGGTCAATGGCTTGTCAGCTGGCTTGGGCGCTGGCTTAAAGAAACTTGTGAAAGAAGAGCTGGGCGGCGAGGGCTTGGGAGTACTAGCACTGGACAGACTCTTAACAGAACTGGCACTTGAGCTAGCGGTTCCTGGGCCCTTGGCGTATGGAGATGTGTAGGTGATGGCCAGGCTCGGCTTCTGGGCGTATGGCGAGACGTAGGAGGAGGCCGAGCTGTTGGCCGAGGAGGCAAACGGTGACCAGGCAGGCTTGCTACCCATGCCCTTGAGGTCCACGCGATGCGTCTCTAGGTGCTGGGTGACCTTTTGCCCGTTCTTTTTGGTCACCGTCGTCTGTTCAGTCTTGACCAACGTGCTCGACCGTTTCCCGGCGTTGCTGGCCGTGGCCTTGAAGGGCTGTGTGGAGCGGAAGGAGACACCGTTTAGGCTGGGGGGCCGGGAACGCGAGGTGGTTGTTGTTGTGGTGGTGGTAGTGCCGGTGGCTCCCTCGCCACCCATTCTCATTTGGGCGAAAAGGGCCTCCAGCTCCGCCTGACTGGGTGTTCGACGCGTCGTCGTCTCCGTGATAAACGCCCGCTGTGTGTGCGTCACCGTCTGCCGGGTGGAGAGAAAGGTGACCGTCTGTTTGTTGCTGTCCGTGATGGTTGAGTTCTGCACAGCCGTGTTAGTTGTCTCTGTGGCGGCACTGGTGGTCTTGACGCGCGTGCGCGGGTCCTGCAACGCCAGCGCCTGGCTGGGCTGGCAGCGATCCGTCTCACTCTTCTTGCTCCACCAACCCATTATCGCTGCGGATTGCGTGTGGCTAGTCTTCGTATCTTTTCTCGTTCCTCCGCTCTGTGATGCAAAGCTTTGTTGTGTGCTTGTGCTGGGAACGACGTTTCTCGCCACACTGAAAGGCGAAAAGAATTCCGCAGAAAGAGCGCTGCCGAGATAAGGTGGCTTATTCATCGGGTGCCCCCCGCCGCTCTGATCTGATTTTATCCGACTCCTCGGCTCTCCGCCACTGTGCTAAAAGCAAGTCGTTGTGTGCGTTATCTGGAGCTTTTGCGCTCCGACGGGGCTGATAACCGGGTCCGGCTATGAGTCTCACTCTCTCTAGGGGTAAACCCCTGCGCACACATAGTAATACTTTTCATGTCGGAAGATCTTACCTGTTATAAACAACCTAAGCAATCTAGTTCTACAGAAACACCTGAGGAGGAAGTTCTCTCTCTCTCTTTATCTTAGGAAGATGCCTTAAGTATAGAAATGCAAAAGTATATAGCACCACCACAACAAACAAGTGAAACCCAGCGGGAAAGTGAGAAGTAGGTTTTTAGAAGTAGGTTTTCGGTTTTAAGTCTACTGGAAATCCTGCTTCTTTTAGCAGGCGTAGGGGTAGGAGTTGAAAATTTCGGTCCGCTATATAAGGGTGGGTTTCTGAAACCTGTGGATTTTTACATAGAAACCTCCTTTACCCCTTCCTTTTGTGTGTCACCCCCGTGTATTTTGAAAGGAGAGACGGCAAAAATGTAAGGGGTGAAGGAGGTTTTTGCCCTTCCGCTTGTATGAAGAAATCTCTGGAAAATAGCATATCTTCCACATCTTTTTTCCCGCTGGGAAGTTATTGGCATTCATTTGCATTTTGTTTACTATACATATGTACATGTTCATGTTCGTACATATATGTTTTTATTTGGATGCCCTCTTGCCGTCTTATTCATCCCTACCGATTCTGTAAGCTTAACAGTTTCCAAGAATTTCATATATTAAAGGCAACAATCAGCTGTTTAAAATAAAACAAAACAACTTTTCACGTATGGAAGAGAGCAGCTTCTCTTATTTCCGACCTAACCTTTACGATCTCTTTACCTTTTCAACTACACTAACTAACAAGTACTATTTTTTTGTCATTTTGTACTAAGTTTTAAAAACTTTTTAAGGTCGCTAAGCGCGTTGAAGTGTTGTTAAAGTTTTATTAGCCTGGACGACGAAAATATATATGTATGTATGTACATACATTTCTAGATCTTTCCTATAGCAGCATATTTAATAGTCGCTAACAAACTAGATTTTCCGAAACTCTCGATTCTGCGATAATCAAATATAGAGAATAGTTCCATTCATTTGATATTTATTTTTTATTTTTCCTATGTCAGTTATACGATATAGTTGTTCGATTTTTATGATATTTAATTCTAAGTCCCAGATTTTTTGGGAAACACCATCAGCAAAAAATCAACTGCGTTCAAGTTTTCCCCGTTATTTTTTATGGGAATTATGTATATGATATAGTGGGCGATACCGAGTTGCGCAAAAAAGTGAAGGAGACACCTCAACCCCACAAAGTATATACATATATTCTTAATCAGCATCACCATCCGAATCGAAATACGTCTGTCCTTCTGTCTGGTTCTACGCAAACTAGTCTCTCAAATACCCTTGAATAGAGAAAAAAATTTCATAAAAATCAGACTACTATATTATATAGCTACCGTAGGAAAAATCGAAAAATGTATGGGTGATTCCATATCAGATTTACAGTCGATATTGGGAAATTCGATGAGATATTTTTTTTCATGCTCTTTATCGAAAATAAATCGACACGTATTTTTTTATATGGCTCAGAAAATTTTTTTGACAAAGTTATGATTTTTTGAATTTTTGATGAACTGCCCTTTTTTTGATGACAGTCGCGTTTTCCAGCCCCAATAACTCGAAAACCGTACGTCGCAGAAAAAAAATGAATAGGAAGTAAAAATTTCATCCTTCCTTCTTCTTTGCAAAACTTTCGTGAAAAAATTTTTTTAAACAATTTTTCACCACAAAAAGTTCAAATGTTTATAACAAATTAGTTTTTCTCCAACTTGGACATTTTTGATTTTTTTTTTTTTTTCACAATAAATCCCTCAATTTCTTCTGATGAACATAGTAAAATTTCAGAATGGTATCAAAATTAGTTTTTGAGTTATAGAATTTTAAAGATTATCATGCACGGTCCGCGCGCTCGGTCTCAGGGCGTGCGCCGACCAACGACTCTAACGAGCGTCAATTCGCTTCGCGCGCGCATAGTAAGGGTCAATAAAATGAATTTTTAATGCTATTTAATTCTATAACTCAAAAACTAATTTTGATACCATTCTGAAATTGTAGTATGTTCATCAGAAGAAATTGAGGGATTTATTGTGAAAAAAAAAAATCAAAAATGTCCAAGTTGGAGAAAAACTAATTTGTTATAAACATTTGAACTTTTTGTGGTGAAAAATTGTTTAAAAAAAATTTTTTCACGAAAGTTTTGCAAAGAAGAAGGAAGGATGAAATTTTTACTTCCTATTCATTTTTTTCTGCGACGTACGGTTTTCGAGTTATTGGGGCTGGAAAACGCGACTGTCATCAAAAAAAGGGCAGTTCATCAAAAATTCAAAAAATCATAACTTTGTCAAAAAATTTTCTGAGCCATATAAAAAATACGTGTCGATTTATTTTCGATAAAGAGCATGAAAAAAATATCTCATCGAATTTCCCGATATCGACTGTAAATCTGATATGGAATCACCCGTATATAGAATTAACGGAAATAAAATAATAACATCGTTGTTTTTTTTACCAGACAGTCATGATTTTAGGAATGTAGAGTTTTCTAATGACTATTGAATTTCAAATTAAATTTCATCATAATAGGACAACTATATCAAATAGCTTTCATATAAACAATAGTCAAAAATTTGGAAAATTAATAGAAAAATCGCCATATTTGATGACTGCAAGGGTATACAAGCTTCGGCTTGCCGAAGCTCGCTTCCTTTCTTGTTTTTAAAAAAATTTTCGAGTAATGTTTCTAAAAAAAATCTTGGCCCCCCAGTAATTAAAATCTCCTTTAATATTACATATATGTATTTTTATGTGCAAAAAGCGTTATTGCGCAACTCGGACATTGATTTTTTATAAGCAAAAAGCGTTTCTGCGCAACTCGGACAATTTTTGCAATTTTCTGCGCAACTCGGCTAGCTCCGATATAATCGTTTAATCCATACACAGCGAAAATATGTTACATTTGTCTACCACTTCCACTATGAAGCCCATAAGCCGCCAAAAGTTTTTATCTTACAACATTTTGAATAGTGTATTGATTCTTCTCGTAAATACGCAGACAATTGCGTTTTTAAATTTGCCACGCCCACTGGCCTTGATGTCGTCCAATCCGTTTGAATATCGATATCTGGAAAACTATTATAGCTAGAATATTGGGATTAGACATGCAGATTCTAAGAGTAAAAGACTTCCTCGGGGCGCAAAACTGGGTGCCTCCCACAATTTATATGGCATTTCGCTGAGAAATACTCAGCGAATACGCGTTCGGGCGTTTTTATTATACATTTCATATTTTATTGAAACTGTATATATTAAACTTTCTGCAAGAATTAAACTTACCTTTTGGAAGATGTTCAGTTTACTTGAAGATTACTAAAGCAACCAAATGATTTGAGTGTTCAAAAAATATTGTAGTAGTCTTTACCTTCCAAGCGAAGAAGGTATAAAATACCCTCTTCATACATACCCAAGAAATTTATCCAGATATGTTCAATAATAACAATAAGATGTTTAAAAATTTTACTTTTCGTATAGAAAATTAAGCGTAGGTGACTCTAATAAATATATTTTTAAATTTAAAATTGTAGTCATTTTATGTTATGCTGAGGCGCTTTAAGACACTATGTAGTTAATATAGTTACGCGAAAATATATGTGTGTACATCTCTTCATTTAGTTTAGTTCCTTAACCTACCTATATTTCAGCGGGCGGCTGTTACACTCAGTGTCCAAAAATTAAAACGAAAGTTTAGCGAAGGCTGTGCACACTTCATCTGTTTAAATAGTAAACTGCTGCGAGCGACAGCAATGTATAAATTAGTGAATGCGTCAGTGGCTTCGAGGCGGTTCAGAGCCGAGAGTCAACTTATTTTTAGGTGCTAGAGGGTGAAAATTCATCTTCTCCTGCACTTTAGTGACACTTGTCAGCTACGATAGGAAAGCGTACGACGCGGATCTCATTTCCATAGTCGCAAACTACTGAATCGCAGGCAAGCATCATAATTTTAGGGCAGAGTTGCAGGTTGGCAAAATCAAGTTTGACTTCGCGGGCCGGCTGTCCAGTTCGCACATCCCACACAATAAGAGATCCTGCAATTAAATTAATTTAATGAAAATGATTAGTACAACAACGACAAAGGGAAACCTTACCCATTTTGCTGGTCACCAAAAGCGACGGTGTTAGCATCAAAAGACTCGAGTACGCGTTGGAAATGTTGATTGTGGTCAGAAGGTTGCCCTGGAATCGCTCCCACACGCAGATTCGTTCGTCCGTACCTAGGGAGATCACATAGCTGGGGGCGCAGGCTAAACAGCTGACGGCGCCGTCGTGGGCCTGGATGTTATACATGCATGCGCCCGTGAACAAATCCCACACGCAGAGTAGCCCATCTTGGGAGCCGGAGCCCCCGGTGCCCGGTTGCCAGCGGTCCACGAATAGGCAGGTCACAGGTCCACAGTGACCGTGCAACGTATACTCCACATCCGACTTGTTAAGACAATAGACCTAGAAAGGCCGGGAAGAGTGAGCAAAATAAGTTCAGTTTAAATTGCTTTAATTGCGCACCTTGAGTGTGTGATCCTGGCTGCCTGTGAAGACCATGTCATTAACCACCTGCATGCAGGTGATTGGTTGCTGATGGGCTAGCCGGACGCCCTCCAACGTGATTTTCATCTCCTCCTTTGTGGTCTTCTGAGTGGCATCCTGCTGGCAGCGCTGCTGCTGCATTATTAGGCCCAAACTTCCTGTGGATCCAGTTCGCACATGAGCTGAAAGTGTGAAACGGTATTTTGAATACATTCATCGGAAACCAAACCGCAGGGATGACCTACTGCGTCTGTAGGCCGAGGTAAAGCCCCAGTCGATCTGTTTTCCCTTGTAGTAAGTTTCTAAGCGATAGAAGTCCAGTCGCCCGTTCAGACGAGCGACAATTACGCGATCGCCGTTAAGGTGAATGTGGGTTATTCCCTGGTTCCTCTTGGCGTCTTCCTGGTAGGCGCACTTAAGTAGTCCGGCAGGCGACTCCCACAACTCAACGCGCCCGTTGGCACAGCCCACGGCGATGAGGTTGTCAAAATAGTCCAGACACCACACCGGTGACACGGCCAGCTTTCTTACCAGCGTCTGGCCATCCGGGCGCGGCTGAGATATCTGGATGTCGGAGCGGGCGATGTTCGTTAACCGCTCGCCACTGCGTGCGTCCCACACCCGGATTTGGCCCTTAAGACAGCAGCTAATGATGTAGGCACCATCCGAGACCAGGCACTCAATGCGGTGTTTGTGGCCGGCGATCTGCGTGGGCACACCCTCAAGAATCTGCTCAGTCTGCTTGTACGGCGCCTCGGACTCGTGCCAACTGGAGCGCCACTCGGCATAGTTTCTAGTGCAGATGCAGCGGTAGAAAACCACCATCGTGTAGCAGAGCACGAATATGCTGATGCAGCACAAAAGGATGGCGAAAAATATTTCCATAGGGCTCTTGGGAACCAGGGGCATCCCGCCGGGCATAACCATCGGGGACTCGCGACGCACGTCGTCATCGTTAAAGTCAAGAGGGTCGAGGGCAGCTGCCAAGGCCTTCCACTGAAAGTTCTGCTGCAGCTGCTCCTGCGGATTACGCAGCAGCGTGGCTAACTCTGGCGCTATGGCATGGCTGAGCCGAATCGTTGGCAGCAGGGTTACGTAGTGCCCGCTCAGCGAGACATTGTATTGCTTCATAATTGTGGACCAGTGGAAATTCGAGAGAAAATAGTTCAAGTCAAAGTTTGGGTAGCGCAGGCGCAGCATTTCGTCGGCCGTATCGTTGACATCGTTCTCGATAGGAGCTTGTAGTGGAGTCGAATGCCCGCTGCTACTGGGAGCACTAGTCGCCGCCCGCTGCCAGTCAGCCTGCCATCCCTCAAAAAAGCTGCTGACGGCTCCACGACCTGCCTGTAGGCGCCTCTGCAGCTCAAGGGTTGCCGTCATCGTGCCGTTGCTCTGCATGCTAAACAGCTGCTCCAGGCACCCCGAGTTGTACACTATGGAGCAAATCCACACAATCATCCATATCATGAAGGCTCGCTGAAAGAAACGGGTGCGCGCCCAAAAGTTCACAATCTTAATTCGCTTCGGGATTCGCTGTTCCTGCGGCGAGTGGCCGTTACCCAAGCTGGTCCGATCGTTTACAGAAGCGGAGTCTGCAAAACACAGCTTTGGGTGCGACTGCGAGCGCTGAAAGGTGCCCGGCACAAAAGGTGGCACCGTTGCGGCGGCACCAAAAAAGCGAAAATCGTGGCGACCCGCTCCCTGGGTGCAGCTCAGCAGCATCTTGGGAAGGTGCTTGGCCTCCGTCGTGTACTCCGCACGCTTAATGTTCATGGCCAGGATAGTGGAGAAGAGCAGCATTTGCAGCATAAAGTCCGAGAGCAGGCCCACTATGGCAAAGATACAAAACTCCTGGATGACTGGCACGAAGGTGGCGAGGCCAATGGTCAGAATTGTGATCTCCGTCAGCAGTGTCTTGGAGATGTGCCAGCCCTCCTTGCTAAGGGCTTGCGCCACGCGGATTTTTACGTCGAACGTTTCGTCCATGGACACTACACTCTTCGTAATCACCAAGCTGTTTTCTAGTCCCACCAAGATGACCAGATAAGGAAATATGTCCTTTGACTGCAGTGATATTGTCAGGCCGAAGAAGAAGCACAAGCCCAGGGACATGGCCAAACTCCCGGCCGTGGTGATCACGCTGCACAGGGCCAGCAAAAAGCGGGAGCGAAACACGTCGATTTTACGGACCGAGAAGTAGACGTACGCAAATACAAGCATAAAGGCCACCGTGTAAGGGACCAACTCCCACATCCTGTACTCTCCCGGGTAGAATATGTACGTAACCGTCGATGGCTCCTCCGCGGATGCGCTTGCTGACGAAGCCATTGGCAGCGGCGGGTAGTGTCGCTGCAGCTTTTCCTTAAGCGTTTCCAGGTACTCCACATCGTTGTGCTTGAGGACCAATGTAAGGGCGTACTGTATGATCCGCGAACGAGCGCGCAAGGGATAACGCTTAAAGCCCGTGTCTTGCATGGGTACGCCAAAAAGCATTTCCGCGACGGAAACTTTCGACTTTTGCAGATTCTGAAGAAAAGATTTTAAGATGCCTTAAAAATCATAGGAAACTTCTATACGTAGTCGGATACACAACTAGTAATATACATGAGCGTGACTGGGTTAGTTGGTAAACATGCATGAGTTCACAATATATGTATATGTTTTAATTAATATATTCTAGATCAACAAACATCCAAAGGGTGGGGTTAATTTTTTAAAAGTGAAGCATATCAGTTTAATATTTTATTGAATGTTGATTCATGAACAGTAATCAACCCTTGTGAGTATTTCTAGCTCAACGAGTCAATCTGATTTGGCAGTTAATTATCAAGGCGCTTATCAGCAGAACTCTAAATATTATATTTGTTGGAAATGGATTATTCCTTCATTGCATCAATACTTTCCACCCTGATAAACGAAAGGGTTGTAGCTAGTATTGTTTGTCTGATAGCTTTGTTATCTTAGCCTTAAGTATTTCCCCGATTCAGCGAAGGCCAATTTCCTTGAATCGATCTCATCTTTATAAAGCTCCTTAAAAAATTAATAAAAACTTTCCGCAAAAAAAAAACTTTTGGAGAAGTGAGACAGAATAACACCGAAGCTTATGGTTAGCGGGTTCTAATTGCAGGTGTGGGTCTGTATAAAATTCAAAGTTGCCACCATAAACGTATAGCTCTTTGTGTATATAGCAAAACGAAGTTTTTGTCAAAGCAAATTGTCTCGAGTGTGAATCACTATCACTAGATCTAAGTGATATACATATGTATGCGGCCAGGGCCGGATTAAGGGCAGGGCCGAGGGGCCGCGGGCCGGGGCCCCCGCATTTTGGAGGACCCCACAAAAATTGCGAACAAATAGGTTTTTTCAATTTTTTAATGCAGAAATCGTGTTGCGTTTGTATCTATCGATAATGGTGGCTATTGTACGAGTGAAAGACCGTTTTCGAAAATGAAATTGATCAAAAGTCGACTTCGTTCGAGCATGGAAGAAGATCGACTGATTCATTTGATACTTTTGATGATATTGTTAAGAATAATTGCGAATGAATAATATAAAAATTCGAAAGTACGTTTGATTTTACTGTATACGGATGCAATTTGAAACAATTTACTTATGTTTTACTCTACTCTTCTACGCTGTATTAGATGAGTAAGTTAAAATTGTGATAATAAATAAATCAAATGAATTGAACACTTAATCTTTTTGCATATTGTAAATAATTTCTGACCGCTAAAGGGACCCCACACATTGATCGGACCTTAGGTCCCCACATTCTTATTCCGGCCCTGTATGCGGTATCTAATAAGAATACCTGTCTGGGTAATTTTGCGAGTACGCAGGGTGGACAACTATTACGTGGCGTGTGTACCTTTCATTAGTTCAAAACCAATCGGCCTAGACAGCGGTGTAGTGCACACTTAAACGCATGCATATGAAAGACCAAAGGTCTTGCCAGAGTCTAGGCAGCACCACTGCTCTCAGTTTTGTAAAAATATTTACAAAATACTAATGGTTTATGTTTATAAACGGCCTATGCAATAAGTTGTTGCCTCAGAAACTTTAATCGAAAAGCGACCAGATGGTGTTTCCCGAGACTCTTTCTCGGACCGGAGCTGATAAAGGCCGGGAAGGGGGTTGTACAAACTAATTATCCCTAGATTACATTAAATGGAAAAAGGTAGAGGAAAGGCACGGATACAACATTGTGATATAACATTGGTTTTTACTTACATGGTACTGGAATATCGTGTTCAGGATGTTGGTGTCACGAGTGAAGTTTTGGGCATTCTGCGTCCACAGGTTGGCTGGCGAGAGCAGCAGGCAGCCGTACTCGGGGAAGATCTGATCCAGCTGCCCGTGCGTCCCGCGCTTCACGTTCTCCACATGCAGGCAATTGTGCTCCAGGGTGCGCTGGCTGCGGCGGAAAGTCGAGTCAATTAGCATGCTAAAACGGCTACAAGATCAACTCACTTCTCGCTGCTCTGGTGATTACGCACAATTTCGAGTAATTTAAAAACTTCGTATAGCGGCGCTCGGAACGCATCCATCAACTGCATCCCTTCGGTCCACGGGAGAACGCAGGTTCGGAGCGTTATTTGCTGAACGTAAAAAAAGGCAGGGCTGCTTTGCGCCCACGGCAACAGGGGAGGTGGTCCGCGGTCCGTAACAGTGCTATTGAGAGGCTGGGCGTGTCCGACTGGCGGGGGATCTCCGGGGACGGGCGGCGTAATTGTGGAGCCACTGTGATTGTGTACCGTGAGAGACCCAGACTCTGCTTCATAGGGCAGCACAATCTTGGTGGGTATTGTCCCCGGTAACGGTATGTTGATTAACGGATAGCTGCAAGAGGGAAAGAGAGGGAAAGAATCTTCAACGGAAGTGCTTGTCAAATACGTTTGATTTTCTATTTTAAGACCGGCGTGCGTGCTCTCGCTGCAGCTAGTCATCTAACGCGTGGCTTAAGCAGCGATCGCCCGTTCGAGTGAGCTGTGAAACCATCACCTATCAGCAAATCGCGTTTTAAGTATTCAAGGTCAGCGGGCCAACATAGCTGGAACCACAACGTTCCTCGGTGATAAGCGTGCTGATAAGTGCCGAATCACCGGCACAGTTACCAAAATATTGGGCGGCAACGCCAGCATCGATTTTACCTATCCCGTTCGTACCGTCGGGTGTTAACTTAAGTTCCTTGCCGATATTGGTTACCATGAAACTCAAAAATTATTCAGTTTTGCTTGAACGTTTGTTCAATCTTGTTCCAGTAAGAGCATACAAAACAAGAAAGGAAGCTAGCTTCGGCAAGCCGAAGCTTATATACCCTTGCAGTCCTCAAATATGTCCAACAAAATAAATAAAAGCTAAACAACATCAAAGCTATGACGATTTTTCTATTCATTTTCCATATTTTTGACTATAGATCAAATGGCAGTTATATGATATAGTTGTCCGATTTTAATTAAATTTAATTCGTAATTCAAGAGTCGTAGAAAACTTTATATTCCAAAAATCATGTTTACCTGATGAAAACAACGATGTTATAATTTTATTTCCGTTATTTCTATATAGATTTTTTTATCCTTCCTATGGCAGCTATAAGATATAGTTGTCCGATTCTTTTGAAACTTTTTTCTTAATTTAAGGGTTGTTAAAAAACTTGATATTCAAAAAATCATGCTCGTGGGATAAAAAACAACGATGTTATCAATTTATTTCCATTAATTCTATATATCTTTTTCGATCTCTCCTATGGCAGCTATATAATAGAGTTATCCGATTTTGATAAAATGTAATCCGAAATTCAATAGTAGTTAGAAAACGCTATCTTGAAGAAATCAAGTCGATCTGATAAAAAAAAACGGCGTAAGATTTTTTTATTTCATTCTTTGGTATTGGAGCTATTCGATATAGTCGGCCGATCCGGCCCGTTCCGACTTATATACTGCGTGCAATAACTACACAACTTTTGGGAAAGTTTTAGCAAGATAGCTTTAAAACTGAGAGACTAGTTTGAAAAGAAATGGACAGGAGGACAGAAGGCCAGACGTACAGACGTATTTCGATTCAGATGGTGATGCAGATCATGAATATATATACTTTATGGGGTCTGAGGTGTCTCCTTCACTGCGTTGCAAACTTCTGAATGAAATTATAATACCCTTTTGCTCTGCAAGGGTATAAAAATGTGTACATATAAATATAAAATCGCGGAATTATACATAATATTTGTATGTGACTTAAGTCTAGACTCTAGACATTGTTTACTTAAAGTGGAGACAGCAACAAAACATTAGGTTACTGTCAATACACATAATTATATTAATAGGTATATAAGATCAGTTTTTAATTTAAAAAATGTAAGTATACATTCTTGTACTCTTGCAAGGTTACATAAACATATCTCCATCTATACAGTCTGAACTGCACACATATAGATAGATTATTTTTATAGATCGGTTACTGACGCACTTTGAGCCACTGATAATCGCTGACATTATCAAACTGCAAGCTTATTTAAATGCGAGAAGAATAGCTTATTTTTCTTTTTCCCTGATTGAGGCGTTGTCTTCATTAACAAGAAAGGAAGCAAGCTTCGGCAAGCCGAAGCTGATATCTCCTTGCAGACTTCAAATACATATGTCGACCAAAATACATAAAGGCTAAATAACATCGGAGCTATGACGATTTTTCTATTAATTTTTTTTTTTTTTTTTTTTTTTTATGACAGCTATATGGTATAGCCGTCCGATTTTTTAAATTTTAATTCGAAATCCAAGAGTCGTTAAAAAACTCTTCATTCCAAAAATAATGATTGTCTGATGAAAAGCAACGGTGTTAACATTTTATTTCCGTAGATTTTTCGATCTTTCCTATGGCAATGATAATTTTTAATACAATTTTTTTTCGCTTTAAGCGTTAATAAAAAATTCCATATATTAAAAATAATGCTCGTGGGATTAAAAACAACGATGTTATAATTTTATTTCCGCGTAAGCGCCATCTGAAAGAAATCAAATCGACCTGATCAAAATTTTTTATTTTATTCTCTCTATATCCGATATAGTCGGCACAACTTTTGGGAAAGTTTCAGCAAGGTAGCTTTAAAACTGAGAGACTAGTTTACATAGAAACCGACGGACGGACAGACGTACAGACGTATTTCGATTCTGATCGTGATGCTGATCAAGAATATATGTACATATATATGTACATATATATGTACTTTATGGGGTCTGAGGTATCTCCTCCATTGCGTTGCAAACTTCTGACTGAAATTATAATACCATTTGCTCTGCAAGACTATAAAAAGTATGTAATAGGCCAAGTAACGTGTTACGATTAAATTTTTTCTTGGTGAAAATAATTATTAGGGGAAGGTGGGGAATCGTGGGCCACGTTTATATTTTGTTAAATATCTTAACAAATAAAATTTTTTTTCCAAAATTGTAATATGGTATGTTATTCTACATTAAATTAGGTAACTTTTGACTATTACACTTTCTTACAATTCTTTTGTTTTTTCCGACTTTTCGTGGTTTTAAAAAAAAAGGGTGTTTTGGCGATTTTCAAAAATGGTGGGGAATCGTGGGCCACCCCCATATTTGAATGAAAATCAAACAATTATGATGCAAAACTTTATTCAATTAGTAGAAATGACAAGTACAGTTATTTTAATCGAGAAAGTGGAGAAGGATTATGCACAATCAATCTGATACGCAATTTGGGCATGTAAATGTGTTGGCAGAGGTAGCACATTTTGCATGGACATCTCGACCACATTCCATGCATGCAACTGAATTGTTCTTGGTCAATTTCTTTGGCTTTGACAGGTGGCGGTGGCTCACGTTTCCCCATGGCCCACGATTCCCCACTTTCCCCTACTATAACCAGTCAACATTGCCAGACAAGGATTTATGATACTATAAGAGCTAAAGAAATGAACTGTGATATAAAGATTTTGGTGATCCTTTTGTAAATGTTCTTTCTAAGTATACGAAATTATTTATCAGGAAGCAGATTTGCATTAAGGAACGTGTTCTTTATGTGGGTACTTCTGTAGTCAAAAATGTTTGCCAAAAATAACCCTAAAAATGTTTTCACTTTTATTTAAAAAATATTTTAACATAACTGTTACTTTAATAGAAAAGTATTTAGATTTAGTTTTTTTTAAGAATAATGTATTTTAATATTTAAGAAACTTGATTCGATTCGTGAGTCTGCAGAAGATTTTCAAGATTGTTTTTCTACTACTGAAGAAGTTGGGAATAATTGTGTCATTCATGTAAAATCATATTAATCAAAGCTTTGTCGGTAAAAATAGATACATATAAGGAAAGCCATTTTTTGGTGACTTATTGTTGAATCTAGAATCTATGTATGTACATTCTAGAACCAAAGCATTACTTTGCATTTTCTATACTACAATTTATATTCATGTTGTCTTGCTACATATGTAAGCACAAATTTGGCACTGACCATGAAAGTAGAATCGCCATGAAAGCGATGCTGGAGGCGCACGTCGGGTAGCTGGACAGGAAGAGGCCGTGTTTGTAGTAGAAGTGCGAGACCGAGGCGGGAAGTCCAGCGGAGGTGGATGCAGCAGGAGGTGAGGAAGCGGCGGGTCCGGGTGGTTTGCCGGTTAGACCGCTGCCGTTGGATGCTGCTGTTCTCGGCGTCGTCGACGCCGCTGCTGCTGCGGCCGCCCTGGCAGAGCCATCTGTTGCGGCGGCCATGTTGTTGTTGTAGGCAAAAAACCTACACTTACACCGAGGTTAACTCACACACACACTTGTTAGAGAGGAGACTATGGGCGCGCACTTTGTTCTAACGCTTTAACGGGGAAATACGAGTTGGTCGGTTGTTGTTTTTGCGCGGATTTGGATTCGGATTCGCACACTTGGCTGCGGCAATTACGCAACTTGGCGTTTGCAACGCATCATCTGCGTAGGCGACGCAGAGGGACCACCCCGATATTGTGATATTATTTTTGTTTATTTATAGCGCCGACTCGTTGGTTCCTGGTGACTTTGGTTTTGGCTTGGATTGGGGCTTGGGCCATATATCGATACATGTTCCCCGGCGATTTGCATTCTATTGCTCCTATTGATTTTTCTTTTTCTTGCGCTTCATTCGCACCTTTTGCCCCCACGTTATTTGCGCCGTGCGGTTGTTGTTGCTGCAATTAATTGACGTTTTCTCGCATCTTTAATGCTCACTCACACACACTCGGGCTTAAACATGCAGGTTATTCTTATAAAAAATCTGCGACGCATACGTTGCTGCCGCCGGTCTCTCTTAATTTTATTAAAATTAAGGCACCGCCGCCGTCTATTGTTATCAAATTAACATTTGCACAAGCCCGAGAAACGGATAATTCACTAGAGGCGCACTTTTCTGAGGCGGATTTGCCGTTTTTTGGTGCGGTGCACAAGGAATCCGAAGGAGGTGTTGCAGAACTGTCTGCTGCAGTGCAGCGTCCGGGAAACACGGTTAAAAGAGTTTTTCAATTTGGTAAATAAATAACTTAGCTTCAAGCACGTTTTTTTTCGTCAATCAGCAGAATTCGCTGTGCGGCGCGTTGTTACTCACGTTAGAACAAAATTCTCGCTCGCCGTGAGTCAGCGTGAGCGAACTAGTTCCCTACCGAACCAAAACATTGAACAGCTGAGACAGCAATTTTTTTTGCAAATACAGCATACCCTTTGCAATTTGTTACAGGGACCCATATATTTTCAATTATACGTTGAAATATTGTGGTCTTATCTATTTCAACCATTTTTTTTATTGATCTGGCTTACCTACAGATAAAACTTTGACTGGCTCCCTGGTTCACAGTTCCCTTTGTCACTGGTGCCAGACTGACCGCATAACCTAGGAGTTACCCAGCCCTTGGCGCTCGATTTAAATTTTAAATTTATTTGTTGTTTGCTATAGACCTATAAATCAAGAAATATACACTATTGTTAATCTATGCCATGTTGTAACTTTTGATTTGACATCAAAGTAAGAATTGGTTTCTATTGAACAAGTATATAACTTTTTGAATTCATTTTGGTTTTGTTAGAAGTATAACCTCGATGAGCATGAAAATTAGCCTTAATTGTTATTATCTACACGTATTTTTCAACACATTCAACTCTCAGTTCTCACATGAAGTCCTTAGCAATTAAGTATAATCGTGGACCGAAGTTTGCCAAAGTGGTTCGTGAATTGACAGACATAATAGACGCCGTGGGCTCTTCTCGGCCCCATTGCAGCTCCAGTACTAGTCGATCTTGGTTGTTGGCATTGTGTATTCCGCAGTAAGGGACGCCACCTCGCCCGCATCATGTGGATGTCCTTCACCAGCCGCCTCCTGGGCATTATAGCGATGCCGCATGATCGCCTCCCCTTGCGCGTCATATTCTGGCGAAGACAGTTCGTGATACTGCACTGTCTCACTCCTTCCCTCCGGTAGACCACCCGACCCGTTTAGCTCAGCACTGCTTTTAGTCCGGCGGCCGAACAGCAGCACTGTGCCCTTGCTTAGCAGCGGACAGAGCAGAGTCTGGTGGCAACAGGCAAACAGCCGGTAGTTGGGACCCTGGAACGGATCCGACATCGCCGCACAGAGCATGTGATCCAGATTTATGCCTGTAAGCTGCAGTTAAAAAGGTGCATTAGTAGATCGAACATTATCATACATACAAAAGTCTGCTCACATAAAGATTCCGTACACAGAAATAACAATAAAAGATGCTAGCTTCAGACTCTGAAGTTCAGAGAACTGAATCTTACAAGAATAATCTTGCAGTTTCAGTTTAACTTTTGTATATCTATTGTCTTACAATATTATTAATTTCAAGCCAAATGCATGAAATTATTGGTTTTCCATATGGCAGCAATAGCTCTTCGGATTCAATGATTGTTCTTATTACGGATGTACATATCTACATATGTATTTATGCAACTATATTTACAAGCAATCATGTTTGTATTTCAACAAGAAAGGAAGCTAGCTCAAATATTTAAATATTTCGAACCAAATGCATAGAGGCTAGACCACATGTTCATATGGCAACTTTATGATATAGTCGTCCGATTTTTATGAAACTTAATTTGAAATCCAAGAGTCAGTAGAAAAATCTATATTGTATTGTACAGTTAAGTGATCGGTTGATTTGTTGTGATCAACAGAATATTTAAGCTTACTCCTTCTACTCGTGGAAGATAACGTTTACTGTTTTAAGATCAAGTCGAGGTTCACTTACGATGGAGAGCGGGGAGAGCAAGACAAAGTGGTAAAACAGCATGAAGGCGGTACCTATGTGTGACCAGTGAAATTCGCTGAGGTCCTCGACAGTATACGCTCCTGAAATGAAACGAAAGGGTTGATTACAGACATAACAATAGTTGTTTGATAGTACCGCTTCGGATAATGTAAATCGGAATCATATACAGCAGTGCGTGCTGGATCCAATATGTGGCCTGTTCAAAAGGATAAGTTCGTCCCTCCACCTCGGGAAAGAGAAAAGCCAGGAAGGGGCCGTTAAGATTGCTCATTTGTATTCGAAAGAGCGCTGTCGTTGTCTTCGTGGGCTTGGCCGCCAGGAGGTAAATCTGTAAGAATTACTTGAAATGTTAACCTAACTTTTACTATTAAATCTGTGAATATCTCACCTGCAAACAAGACTGCACGTGACAGGGATTCAGAGCGAAAATCATCGACTGGCCGGAAAGCTTGAAGCCCATTTCAATGCCAAATATCATGGACAAAGCTATAAGAAGGAACAGCCTAGTGGGGCTGTGTGGCTTTTGGATCTCGTGAAGCGGTGGCAGCTTAATCGGCGCCAGGCGTTGCCAAGAGCGGTGCATTATGAAGATAAAAAGGGCAGACAGCAGTGTAGTCTCCACCCAGCGCCGCCGATCAGTCATGTAGTTGATGCACTCCGGCCCCGTGGTCCTCGGAATCTCGTCAGAGATGCCTCCGACAGCCCAATCCCAGTCCCATCCCATTTAAAGGCGGCGTTATCTGCTTTGGATTTAGGTTCTGAAAAATATATATATTTCTTAGGCAATTAGGGCGTGAAATATTAATAAGAGCCCATTGACCGAGGTCAACCCTTGTCCTTAGTACTTTATTAAACAATAACTTTATAGCGTGACCCTGCCAAGGAAAAGCCTACAATACAGGACACACGGCTCTAGTGCTCCGTCTAGTGTAATTCAGTGGCCAGTGACAAGGAGTGCTTGTCGAACATAACTAACTTGGATGTTAGAGAAGATGGTGCATTATCAGGTGCTTAAAAGGGCTGGAACAAAGTATACAAGCCAGTCAAATGGGTGCTGGGCAGCCAGCAAATAGCAAGAAAAATATGAAATCATGTCAGCGTTGACAGTTGCCGCAGCTGTCCATTGGCCAATTGCCAAGGGCCAAGAACCTAATGCAGAAAACCGAAGGTCGAGACATTTACCCCCTGTGGGTCCGCACCAAGCTTTTGCACTTTTTGTCAGCGACGTATTTGAAGTGCACTTTCGAGCGCTCGTTTGCAAGCGGACTATGAGTAATGTCCGATCAGGCCACAAATTTGGCCCACAGGTATAGGCCTCTAAAAACAAACTGAATGGAAAGCGCTGCAAGGGAACTGGGCTGATAGCCGCTGACATTGTGATTTTCATTGTCAAGAGCAAAAGGGATGGGGTTGCTTTAGCTAATGCGAGTGGAAACGAGACAGAAAGCCTGAAGGAAAAATAACAGTCATTCAGGCATACATATGTATGTATGTATGTACATACATATAACATAGTTATAAGCAGTTCTCCATAAAAAGCAAAGGAAGTATAACTTTTAACTCAACTGAGAAACTATTATTAGCAAGAACAAACAACATATGTATGTACATATGTACATATGTTCAATAAAGGAAAGGAAAATATTGATTAAATTTTCAACGCAAAACCAATTGAGTGAAGTTAACAGTTGTAACGAATGACTTGAATTGGCGTAAATTTCTTAAATAGGTAAGTTGCACTTAAATTTAATTTAATAGAAAATGCACTTGTCTAAGCAATAAACAAATTAAATATCCTACTCTCAGACTTCTATCGATGTTTTCGAAAAGCAAGCACTTTTGGCGATCAAAGTACCGGACTTTAGCGGTAAAAATGGAAGAAAAAAGTCAGACAGCGCCGACGTGTGGCGACATGAATTCGATTTTTTTCATTTGTTACCTATAGGTCCTCCGCCTGCAACTGCCACGTGGTGTTCTGCAAAGCTCGCCTCGTCTTCCCCCTCGAATCACCGACACCCTTCCGACGCTGTTGAGAAATATACGCGGCTATCGCACATTTTTCGTACCCTCTTTTTTTGTTTTTAATCACATTTCGCCTGCATATTTGCATTAAGCATATAAATTGGGGCTAAGAAACACGCGGGCAGCGAAGTAAAGCACTACGTTTTTGCTGGGCAACTGGCTGCGGGCAAATGAGGCTTTGGGTTCCGTTGTTTCTATCGTCCTTGAGCGAGCTTTCACTTTCTTTCTCCGGCGCAAGCGTTTCCGAGCTTTTCCTCTCTCTGACTCTCGCTCTCTGGTAAATTGGGCGCCAAAAATTATGGCACCGGCCATGGTACAATTATACAAGGTAGTCTCGTCCATGGTACAATTATACAAGGTAGTCTCGTCGGCTGCCTAATCGTTCGGCTTTTTAGTCAGTGCGTTCGTGCTTGTTGAAGGATGAGCACGCGTGCGGACGAATTTTTTTAGAGTATTAACCCTTGTGCAAAGATGTCGTTCTGCCCTTGGCTGCAAACTTTTTTTGTTTTTTAACATGTCGTTTCAGATAATTTTAGTATAACAAAAAATGTAAAGGAGAAACTATTAATAGCTGCTAAGAAACATTAATTTAGATATTACAAAAATTTACTTTAAGATTGACATTTATTTTGAAATTAATAACCTAAACAAAGAAATAACTATCCAAAAATAAAAACAACGCTTAATTTTAAATTCAAAACTATTAAAAATTAATTTATAAAAAACTTCAACTCTTTTTATTATAAATGAGCAATTTAAGCCCCATGCACAATCTAAGGGTTAAACTAAAAGCTCTTTTGTCGTTTTACTCGCACTTACTACGCAGACTCCTCTCACTCGCACTTTTTGTGAGTAATGAATAAGGGAGTGCTTTTTGCCGACGAGACTACCTTGTATAATTGTACCATGGCACCGGCTGCCTTGGCCGAGGGGTGCAACATATGATATTCATACGACAAGCACTTGTATGTACATGCAAATGTGTACGTCTACGGATGTGCATTCGCCTGTGCTCACAGACGGTCGCAAATTGGATTAACGGTGGAGAGTGTTCGAGGGGCGAGTGACCCAGAAAAGATAATACCTCGGTTACGCCAGGCAAAAACATCGCCATCTTCAATTCTTACTCGTTTTTTTTTTTTGTATTCGGTTATCTAGGTGTGATTATCTAATACGAAATAAGTACAAACTTTCTGATACTCGCAATAGCTAAGCTTACCAAGTATTTCAATTCGCCGTAATTTATAAAAATGTTCAGACCAGGCACCTTTCCCGACAAGCAAACACACGTAACTGTAATTAACAGTTACCCCACAGTGTACAATGGAGGTTAAAAAATGAACAGTTGTCCGATTGTCCGAGCCATACAAACCAATTTTAATTTTGTAACCCCTGATATGAATAAATACATATGTACATATGTACGTGTTTGAAGCAGATAGCAATGAATCCGAATTCCGCTGGAAGAGACAGGATATGATCAGAAGGTACGATTAGAAAACATTGTATGTACATACATACGTGCATACAGATGTAGGTACGCTAGTATGGCGACCATTTGGAAGCCTTACCCGGCACAGCTTGGAAAAGCTCCGTACATTAAGGATTTGCAGTAAAGGAAACTTTAAATTGCAAGCAAAGCAAACAAAGCAAAGTAAGAACTTAGGCTGAAACCGGCCCTAATCAGCGTAATACTTATTCATTTTAGTTTTTAGGTAACATTTTTATGAAGTGTTAGTTTCGCTCTTTTGGCGGTTCCGACATATTCGTAATCCCTAATATACCCTTTTCAAGTTTAAATTAAGGGGTACCCTGAAACAGCTGTTTTCAACGTAGTTGGGTGCTTTGTTACCTAGTCTTACGTTACGTGAAGAATTTTTGTCATCGCAGTGTGACCAGCTAGCGTTTACAAAGGTAATTCGCTTGTTTCAGCTTAAGGTCATATTTAACTTAACTAAAATAAAAATAATAGTTTGTGACTAAGAAATTGGACTGCAGGATCAATTCATAGGGCTTATTTTTTGCCTTCCAAGCCACAAAGGCGATTTCAGTTCGGGAAAAATCAGCCGGAGTTAAAATCGAGCATCATTTGGGCGCAGCTGCAAGTCACGGACACAAAGGCGTTTGGGAGTGTTTCACTCGTGTGTATTTGTGTGGGCGCCGCGGAAACCACAAAAACAACATCCAGAGCTATGGTGGGAATTATCGATGAGGCGCAGCTGTTTTATCCTCTGGGAAGTCGCATCAAGATAGCCGACAACTACGGCACAGTGCGCTATGTGGGAGAGGTAAGAGACCATACTCCGGACATGAATATAATTTATCCGATTTGGTTCCATTTTTCAGGTCAGCGGCCACATGGGCACCTGGCTGGGCATTGAGTGGGACGACGGGCTGCGGGGCAAGCACAACGGCATCGTAGACGGCAAGCGCTACTTCCAAACGCAGTCGCCTACGGCGGGCAGCTTTATCCGGCCGGGCAAGGTGGGGCCGTGCGCCACTCTGGAGGATGCTGCCCGCGAGCGGTACCTGAATTATGACTCGAGCAACGTAGACGAGTCCCTCATCCGAGAGGCCCAGGCCAGTCTGCAGGCGTCGCTCTTTGAGGTTGTAGGTATGGACAAGATCGCCCGCAAGCAGAGCAAGTTCGAGCAACTGGAGGAAGTGAGTGTTGACCAAACGCCAGTGAATGCAGCCGGGTACCTGAAGGAGCTGACCCAGCTAACCACGCTGAACGTAAGCCACACCTTGATCTGGAACTGGGAGATAGTCGCCAACATCGCGCAGCAGCTGCCCTCCCTGACAAACCTGAACCTGAGGTAAGTAAAAGTGAGGCGATGTTTTTATGACTTTTACAGTAACTAATCTAACTTTTTAGCTCCAACCGACTCGTTTTGCCTACGGCATCCGAAATCACAGATTTGGAGCCCAGCTTCCGACAGCTGAAGCGTATTAATCTACGCGGTTGCGGCTTTTCAGACTGGAAGGATGTGATGCATACGGCGCTTTTATGGCCAAATATTCTTTCCCTGGGCCTTCAGGAGAATCCTTTTGGTCAGCTGGCCGAGGTCGATCGAAAGAAGATCTTTCAACAGCTTCAAGAGCTGGACTTGCATCGCACTAAAATCATGGATTTTGACCAGGTGGTCAAGTTGGGCAACCTGGTGACGTTGCGCTCTTTGAATCTCATGGAAAACGGCATCGAGGAAATAAAGCTTCCAGACTGTGATCCGCAAGAAAAAATTAACATGTTTGTCTCACTTGAGCAGTTAAATCTGCTTCACAATCCTATTTGGAATGAGGTATGCCACCGTCCGTTTTATTTTATTAAACAAGTTACAATGCTGTTTTTCAATATTCTGAGCAGGCGGATGCCTTCAACGAATTGGACAAGCTGCCGCAGCTAAGCCGCTTGAGTAAGACACCGCATCTAAAGTCAAATTTTGATGAAATGGCCTCTAAGGCCGTGGCTAGCATAGCCGGCCTGCAGTTCATCAACAAAGCGGAAGTGACAGCTGAGGAGAGACGTGGTGCCGAGTACGATCTTTGGAAAAAACATGCCTTGGACTGGATGCAGGCGACGCATCAAGGCTCAGATTCCTTGCGTGAATTTTGCCGGAAGCATCGCACCTATCCATTACTGGTTAAAAGTAAGCTTGCTGGTGACAATTTGATCTAAAATTATGGATTTTATATTTTTAACAGAGTATGGATCCCCGGCAGACTTTGTACCTCGCACCCAAACGAAGCCATCGAATTTAATAAATATTTGCATTCGACATCAGCTTTCGGGAGAGACATGGGAGAAAAAAATCCCGCGAATGATAACTGTACAGACTCTGCAGGGACTGGTTATGAAGCGGTTCCGGTTAGGCGGTAACGTTCCCCAGCTGTGTTACGTTGATGCCAAGCATCCAAACCTAGTGGTTCAACTGGATAACAATGCAAAAACGCTGGACTTCTATTCTGTACAAGAACACGACACGGTTTTGGTTCAATAGCGTACAGCAATTAAGCAAGGCGTTCAATCTCTTTTCCGTATTCAAATATGGTATTTTACTTTTAGGTAACTGAAAATCAAAAATTTCATGTTCAATTTAAATTCTGACCCCCCATGCTTAAATTGATAATGTTATCTGTAGGTAAATTTAAGTTTAAATTTCTACTATGCAATAAAACTCGTATATTTTTTTGTTTTTGCTTGAAAAAAAAACACGTTACAAACCCAAAGACAATTATTTTTATTTTGCCTTAACATAATGTAAGAAGGTACAAAGAATATATTTATATATATATTCTCCAATTAGTCTTCGAGGGATATGCCATATTTATGTTTTTTTTTTTATAAATAGATGTTTACAGCTTTGAAACGAATCTGAAATTAAGCATTGCAGTTAAATGTAGGGTAGACTCCTACCATAACAAACTTATAGCACCAACATTTCATATTGTTAGTCCGATCTGTACGTTAGCAAAGGTTTACCGGGAGCTATGCATAATTCTCAACACATTCCCCTATTTTCTTAAATCTTTCACTCAATTTTAATAAAATTTAACTCGAAATTTAATAGTCGCTAGAACACTCTTCAAAAAACATGTTTTTATAATAAACCAAAATTGAGTTTTATTTCTGTTAGTTCTATATACATTTTTCGATCTTTTCCAAGATATGATAAAGTTTTTCACGCTAATGAGTTCAAAGTTAAAGAATCCTAATCAAACAGCACCTGGAAAAAATCAAGTCAATATGATAAAAACAACGGCGTAATACATTTATAAACGTTATTTTTTTCGATCTCTCTTATAAGAGCTAACCGATATGGTGTTTTTAGCTACTGTTACATTTTATTGAAATCGGATGACTATAGGTACAGTCAGCGCCAAATTTTATTCTCTGGGCATTATTTTTTTAGGGGGTTTCCCTTGACTATTTTCGACATAATTTCGTCATTTGAAGAGCGCTGTTGCTTAAGTTGCTTTTGGTAGAATTTTTTTGTAAAGACCCCTGTAAAATCATGCCAAAGCAAAAGCAGTTCACTGATCGCGATAAAGAAAAAATTATTTTATTGGCTGAACAAAATGTGTCAAATCGGCAAATAGCGGCTGAAACGCATTTCAATGAAAGCTCAGTGCGTCGTTTTTAAAAAAAAATATCGTGAGACAGGTGAATTAAAAAGGAAAAAAGGGACAGGTGAAAAAAAATGCACCAAGTCACGTGAAGATCGCTTTATTATGAGAACGAGCCTGCAGAATCGTTTCAAAACTGCAGTGCAGATAAGATCTGAGGTACATGAACAGTTTTCAAAAGATATTTCGGAGCGAACTGTTCAACGTCGGCTTTACTCTATGGGAATGCTCGCAAGATCACCTGTAAAAAAGCCACTTTTGAATCCGCGAATGAAAAAAAATCGTCTAAACTGGGCCAAGGACAAGGAAAATTGGACTGCTTCTGATTGGTCAAGAGCGCTATTTTCAGATTAGTCCAAATTTAATCTCATTGGATCTGATGGAATCCTCAATGTGCGCCGTAGACGTGGGGAACGTTATTCTGAAAATTGCTGCATAGCCACAGTAAAGCATTCACCGTATGTTATGGTATGGGGATGCATATCCAAATATAAAACGGAATCAATTTTAATGGTTCAGGGTATGGTCAATGCAGAAAAATTTAAAGAAATAATTTTAGGAGGAGTTGTGCCTAGCATTGAGTCCATAAGTGAAGAAGAAGATGAACTCATTTTTCAGGATGATTCTGCACCTTGCCATCGAGCGCGATCTGTGAGTTACTCAGTGTCCGATTATTATCAAAACAACTTTTTCAGTTAAATTTAACATTTTTCTATCTAAAGATAACAAATTTGAAGGAAGAATTGGGCATTAGGTCCTTAGATTGGCCAGGCAGGGGCGGATACAGGTATCTGCCTGGGGGGGGGGGGCGATCAAAATTTTTTTTAAATAATGCAAGTAGCAGGTGGCAAATAATCAAAAATTATACGCAGTTTTATTCAAAACACACTGTACAAATAAATTAATTAATTTTAATCTAAATTGCGAATTCCATTTTTCTTTTCCCTCTTTTTAAAAACTTTTCTATAACTCTCTCGATGTCAATACTGATTTCGGAATGCGTATGTAGCAATGCTAGGCCAGTTAGTCTTAGGAGGAGGGATAGAAGTAGGGCAAGGAAGGACTGGCGACACGCTGTAACACGCAGGTTTCCGAAGTTCACACCAGTTCACTCGGTTCACGCGTTTTCTGAGGAGTCGGACGCATTCAAGTGAAGCACCTTTTTTCAGAAGCTGAGGGGGGCGATCGCCCCTATCGCCCCCCCTGTATCCGCCACTGTGGCCAGGAAACAGCCCAGACCTTAATCCAATCGAGAATGTTGGGCCTATATGGGTGCCAAAATAAGAAAGCGAAAGCCCAAAACTATGGAGGAGCTAACACATATTATAGAAAAAGTATGGATACACGATATAACGAAGGAATATTTGTGTTCCATTTACGATTCTATGTCCAATAGGGTAAAAAAATAGTTTTTGTTAAGTTTTTTCATTATTATAAGTTTTATGATTTGTTTCCTTAAGTTTGCCATAATAGTGAAAAGTCGTGAAAACTAGGGTGAAATAAAAAAAAAACATTTTTTTAATATTAAAAACAAATTTAAAATAAAAATTGGTATGCACTTTTATTAACATACCATCAGTTAACTTGTTAAAAAAAAATTGGGCGAATCCGCAATCATACAATGAAACAAGAGGGCCTGAAAGTTGAAAATTCGTAAACCTTCAAAGTGCGGCTTTTTTTGTGGCGCTGACTGTATGATAAGCTGCGATAGAAAAGACGGAAAATTAATGAAAATTAAAAGATAACGTCGTTCTTTTTTATAATACGACCAAGGTTTTTTGAGTATCAAGTTTTTTAACTAGTATTCCATTATAAACAAAATTAAATTAAAATCTTACAACTGAATCATAAAGCTGCCATAGGAAAGATCGAAAAATCTATATAAAAGATAACTATAGCACCGTTTTTTTTTTATACCGTTGCTGAGGACAGTATAATTTCAGTCAGAAGAAAGCAACGCTGTGATAGAGAAACCTCAAACCCCATTAGGTATAAATATATGTAATTTAATTTTATCACAAACAGAAGGCGATATACTATGGCTGTCATAGTATTAATATAAAATTAAATCAGTCCAAACCAAAAAAAAGTAATATTTAGTACATTTTATTGTTGGCATTAAAGAACCGGACTAACAGTTGGAAATAATTTTGTTGCTTGAGATTTGTGATGTGTGTAGACGTGTTTAACACTAATGCAAGGGTATACGAGGTGTGTTCAAAAAGTATCGCGAATTTTGAATTTTCGCGGTTTACCTCGTATCGAATTTCGATTTTTTTGTGGCGTTATGTTGGCACTCATGTCTTTCATGGCATTCCGAATGTTGACTGTGGCATACGGAGAAGCTACCTTGGACCGAAGCAACGTTTATCGGTGGTACAAAATGTTCTCAGAAGGCCGAGAAGATGTGAACGGCGAAGAGCGTGCCGGACGCCCGAGCACTTCAACAACAGACAAAAAAATTAATGAAGTGGAGAAAATGGTGTTGGCCAATCGTCGAATCACCGTTAGAGAAGTTGCTGAGGACCTAAACATATCGATTGGCTCGTGCCAAAATTGCTCAATTACGACCAAAAATAGCATCGCATGAACATTGCTAATGAGATGTTAAACTCTGTCCGCGACGACCCAAAATTTGCTCCAGAGGGTTATAGCTGGTGACGAATCGTGGGTTTATGGTTACGACGTGGAGCTCATTCATCTTAATGGAAGCTGCCGCACGAACCAAGACCGAAAAAAGCGCGCCAAGTTCGGTCGAATGTGAAAGTTTTGCTGACAGTTTTCTTCGATTCATCGAAGGAGAAGCTGAACAAGATAACAAAAAATGATTTTTTGAAGTGCTTCGAAGATTGGAAAAACAGTTGGCACAAGTGCATAGTATCTCATGGGGATTAATTTGAAGGAGACAAAATAGATATTCATGAATAAAAAAAATTTTTTTGGAAAAACACAAAATTCGCGATACTTTTTGAACACACCTCGTATAAGCCTCGGCAAGCCGAAACTAGCTTTTTTCTTGTTTAACTACGCGTAAATCTGGAAAACTATTTCATGCGAATAGAAAACGAATAGAAAAACTTCGAGTTGTTGTTGATGAGTTTTATAGTGCAAAAGGCTAAAAAATATCGAAGCTGTTTTTATTACTTCGATTCTATGAAATTTATTTCTTGGATGTATGATGAAAAATCTATAAGATTAAAAACAGCGGCGTAATAATTTTTTTCGATCTTTCCTAGGTGAGGTCGTCTCATGAATTTTTAATAAAATTTAACTTATTGTTTTGAACTCATCTATTACCAATTACAACTGAAGCGCGAATATTGTATATCGTTTCGAATTTTTAGCAACAAATGCATTCATAATTTTTCATCCTTGAGTAGTTTCACGTGGGTAGCACTACCCATAGTACCCACATCTTCTGCCGGCCCTGGCTGTCGTTGTAAAGATCTAACCAGCAATAGGAAAATTCTTGCTACTATTGAATTCTGATGACTGCAAGGGTATTCGTTATGTCATGAAAAGCCTTACCCATGTGAGTTTATATCTCTGGTTTCCGGTCCCACAAGTCTTTCATATGAGTTTTTTTTTCAGGGGCGACTTGGGCTTCGATTTCCCCCTTCCCCAAAGGTTGTCGTCGTCAATATAGCCAGCATTTGCATAATTCGGCTGCAGGAACTGTCGCCTGGTATTAGCATATCTGGAAAATGTTTTGGACTTAATTGCTCGCAGATTTAAAGTTGCTGATGTAACGAAAGAAGCACCGCCCACTAACACCCAAGCGAGCTTGTTTACGGCCTGTAGACAATGCATTATTAATGAGTGTCTACGGCGCGTGGCCAGTAAAAAAACGTACTCGCACGAGGTGGATGGTTGTGTGTAATTGTGTTGGGTGGATTTACATGACGCACTTATCAAGTGCACTTGATCACATCTCGGTATGCAAATTGGTGTTCGGCCCACGTCGCACTACACACTCATCGGGTTCTTTGTAAGCCAAAGATTGCCTATCAAGTTGCAGATTACTGAGAAATGAAAAGACATCTTCAAAAACAGTTCTTATTGAGAATGGAATTAGAAGAAATCTATTAAGTCCGGGCTTACAA